TGCACTGCTGCGGTTTCTCCTGATTGTCAAAATAATGCCAGACTCTGACTTGGCCTCTGATTTCTCCTTCTGAAGTGGTGGAATTATAAAGAAATTCTCTGGGGTTCATTCCATAAACACAGGAACACTGTCCTGGCTGTCAGACAAGTAAAAACTGCCAAATTTCCATTCTCAGTCCAAGCCTGATTAATTTAATTTCAGAACTCCTTTCTGTTTTATTCTGATGTGGAGGTAGAGAACAGAACTGTGCTAATGGGCTTGGAACCCTGTCCTCTACCACTAAGTCAATTATAGTAAGAATATAAGAATTAGCAAAATTCTACTTTTTTTGCTCAGCACTTCAGATCTGTCAGCTTGGATGTGGTGGCTGGAAGTCTGACCTTTCTGATGTCTTAAATAAGCATGATTTCCTTTGTTTTTGTTTCTTTTTTTTCATGAAGGATTGGTTGCAGCTGTTTCCCTTGCCATTATGTTAATACATCCATCTTACAAAGTTTAAATGGAGTTTAAATACACATCAGAGCAGATTTGAAATATTTACAATTTAATAACCTAATTTAAATTTAAATAATGTAATCATTACAGCAGGAACAAAAACCAAACAATTAAATTCTCAACAGAAGAAACCCAACTTCAGATTCTTATCAACAAACAATCCAGGCATTTTTCCTACAATGGAGGGAAATTAGGGTGGGTTGAAAACTACAGTCAGAAATGAATCCATTTAAATAGCTTTGTGTTCTTCCCTGAAGAAACTGATGCACTATATGGTATGCCTTCACAGTCTCTTATCTTTCTCATATACTGTAGTTTACTTATTTTACCTCCTCAATATGTACTATATGCCTGACCATGCAGTTCTCTCAGAGAATATAAACACATAGATATTGAGGCCAATATAATTTATCTAGAGCTGTGTCTGAGGATAGTGTTTTCTTAATATGTACAGTACATGAGACATCTATTTCAAGATAGATATTGCAAGCAAAAAAAAACTGAAAATTGGCTCTTGGCACATTTCATAAGTGTCCAACATGTAAAGGCAAGGTCACAGTGTGAAGAAATGCCAGACATGTTTTACTTGAGCTTTTGAACGTAAAACACGTCAGTGGAGGTGAAATGAAAGAGTCCCACAGTTTTCAGGACCTACTGTAAGTTCTCACGCAGTTGCAAGAAAATCACCATAAAAATAGATGGACCATTCCTTAACTTTTCAATATGACAACCCTTTAAATGAACCATTTTAAAGGTGGGCAGGAGACATGATCACTAACTTATGGTCCTCTGTCTAAGCTGTTGGACTGAGAGTAGACAGATGTAAAAACAACTGAGAATATCCCAAACCCACAGTATTTGAACATACAGTATATAACCTCATTATAGGACAGCTGTAAGGTATTGTAAAGTATAAAACTACATATACATATTTCAATACATCTTTTAAACTGGTGCCATTTTTTTCCATTTGTGTTAAATGTGTTTAATTTAAAAATGAACCTAAGAGGTCAGTTAATACAGTAGCATATGGTGACAGCAGTGGTTTTAACCTCAGATCAATAGCCCACCTGTATTAATCAACAGAGTACAGGCTTATTTTTACTAACCCACTCACAGACTTCAAGGCAGACATACATATTAATACTGATTTCTACTTTCTACATTGAGAAATAATGCCTCATTTACTGGGGGCAATGCAGAGACATGTAAGGGAGATCAATAACTCACATTTCACACATACGTTTCTTGTGGGAGAGTTGTTTTCCTGGTCTCCGCTTTTTTCCTCTTGATTAAAATCACATACATGAATGCCATAACCTGCAAGTCAATGGAATTTAGACCTGTTGGAGAGGTTGCCCATAGGGAACGTACAGAATAGGTTCAGGGCTTTGGCAGGTGATTTTGTGCCCTGGAGATATCTTCCCCCAAGGCAATTCTCAAAGCTGCAAACTGAAATTCACTTTTGCTAACGGCATTCCTGAACAATGCCAAGCAAAAGGACACAAGTGAGCAGATCTGTGAGCAGAGGATTAAGGGGAAAAGACATTGAGAGGCTAAGTGATATATATCTTAACGGCTTAAAAGATAGATCTAGAATACGATTTGAATGAAGTTTGTCTGGGAGTTAATTAACAGAAGGAATGATTGTCTACTTGGTTTAGATTATTTTATTTTCATTACAGTCCATCAATGAATCTTATTTTCTCCTCCTAATGTGCTTTGTTCTTTCCTTTTCGAACGAAGCTCTTTTATCAGGCTTGAAGCTGTTCCACCCACGTGATTATTTCCTATTCCTTTTGCTTCTATCCATACATACTGTATCTATATATAGAAAAACATGTTTCTCAACCAGTTTCCTGTGTTTATTTCTGGATGCCATTATTAAGTCACCACAAGGAACAAAGAAGAACTCTCTGTTAGGAGACTGGGGTCATATTAAATTATACATTGGGAAGGCAGCTGAAACCATAACAAACTGTATATAAATGGATGAAAAAGAGAGGGTATTATTTGTTCTTTTTCCAACAATTACCAAAGCCAAGATTCACCTTATCACCTTCTTTGATAGAATCCTCTTTGCATCATATTTGTTTTAAAGCAGTAAACCAAAAGATGTTTTCCTAAAGCCCTAGCCTGCTATTAAATATAACAGTAAATTGCCCCAGGTCTGGCCAATTTTATTTCTCGTAAGAGGTGGGTGTGGGGATGACATACAAACTTCCAAATTAGAAAACTATTTGGTTTTCCAAAAGACAATTGTTGGATATTGGATCATTTGAGAGCTACTGGAAACAAATCCATGCAGTTGTAAAAACATTCAAAGCTTTGGATGCAGAATTGTTTCAAAGCAAAAATGACTCTCAACAGCCAGATGCTCAGTGAAGCTATCCACATACATGTAGTCCCTTCCACACACCACAACAAGCATTTCCTTGTTGTCCTCTGATGTACTGGGATAGCTAAAGGCAGTTCAGTTTAATTTATTCACATTATATTCTAGTAAGCATTGGTGAAGGCCCTGGATGTGCTTACTGTTAAAAACTCTTCACACTTTCAAATCCTAAATAAAATTCGGGAATTGATTCATTCAACACATCCAGTTTTCTAGAATTCACACACACACAAACTATTTTAACATGCTGTGAGAACATATTCAACTGCCTTAGCCCTATCAGAAGGTGTTGGAACATATTCTAATCTTTTTTTCTCAAAGGATCTGTATCTGGGGACTCAAGCACAGCAGCCTTGTCTCCTTAATAACTTATCAAGCTTTCCAGTAATGTACAAGTGCTCTCCCAATTAGAATGACTGGGACAAGGCTTTTCCACTGACCTTGAGGTGAGGAGAAAGACTGGCGATTGATTTAATCCATCTGGAGGCATTAGCGAGCTCAAGAATCAGAGTGAGATGAGAAGATTAGGCTGAGGAGAAACCTTGAATGCTGTACACTATGGGTCTCTGCATCGGGATCCTCATGCTCAGATCACACCCAGTCTTTCAGTCTTTTCTTCCAACAGCAGAGCTCCCAGTAAAACTCCTAGCTTCTGATAAAAAACAAAGGTAAAATATTCATAAAAACTTCAGAGTATTTTAAAATTGGAAATTACAGTCTAGGTTAACATTATGGATTGGATAAATATCAAATATATATCAACAATACCAGTAAGGAAGTTAGCATGTTTAATTTGCACTCTATTGCACTTTTCCAATCATTTAACTGTGCTTACATCAGTGCTTGTTTTGCTTGGCTTCACATCATTTGTACCCCATATTCACCACTCTGTATATTGTGACAATTTCACCTTCATTACCTTTTATTTCAGTGTTTTCATACTTTTCTTGGTTTGCTAATTAAGGGGGTCTCCTGAGTTTCTTTTTGCTTGATTCTGAAAAGTTCTGAAAATAACTGAGAGAAAAGAAAGATGCACTTACTACTCTACATATCTTTTTGGGTAATAACCCATGTCACACCACAAAAAGGTGTATATACAGTATAGTATAGCTCTTTTCATCAGTGGTATAAACAGTAGCAATTGTTATCTACCAGTCTGGTAAATAACAGTGGTTCCCCAGGAAGTAATGGAGTAATGTGGAGCAGGTTAAGACTGTGCTGCAAGTGACCCCAGTCACTATTGCACCTTACTTTATCACTATGCCCCCCAACATTTTTCAGTGCTAATTTGTGCCATTTTTAGTGTTAAATTGCCATAGTAAGGGCTAGGGTATTTCTCTCAATGCAATTAAGCCTCAGCTCTTAATCATTGTTCCCTATCCCAGTCCCCACAAGTATTTAACTTTGTTCCCCTAGCAAAGTTCTAGCTTAAGTGTTTTAACTTTACAAAAGCATTAACGTAAGGACCTTAGTATTTGTAATCAGGATATTTGCATAGAGCAAAGTCAGTGAAGAGAATATATTCTTTGCACAAAACCCATGAAACTGAGGTATGAGGTACAATTTCTGACAGAAGTAAATGAGGCCCCGATTTCTACATCTATGAATTAATACTTCATGTTACCTGCAGCAGGAAAAAGTGTTAATTGGTGGCATCACAGTCTTATTTTTATATACTGTCATTAATTATTCCTATTCCTAGCCAAAAAAAGAAGCAGTTGTTGCTGAAGGTAATTTGATCTAGAAGAAAAACAAAGATAGATCTAAGCTTAATCCATTTATTCAGGAACGTTAATAAATCTAATACTATTATATAGCTAAGACATACCTATTTAGTATATTGTAGTTTGAAGATGCTTTTAATAGTGTATTTGCTTGGTTCATAAATAAAACAATAACATTAATTTGATCCTGCAGCTGTAGAATGTGAATGGTATTGCTTTACAGTGCAAGCACCATAATATTACACTCACCTATATTTAAATACCGAGAAGGAACACATTAAGTATCAAAGATACCCACTTCTCTTTTTATGTCGGGGGCAGAAAACAAGATAACACTGGTATCACTTCCCCTTTAATTAAAGCCAAAGTCGGTTCTTATTCTTCAGCAACGTAGACCCTGCATGTCGGAGCTGTGGAGCATCAGTGCTTAAAAAATACAGGATATCTATAGCATTAAAATAATCTTGTTTGATTTTACCGATGTGGACAAAATGTGTCCCATGTACCGCAACGTTGGGCTTTTGCATCGGAGTGTACATGCGCCACTTAAGATCTTTTTTACTTTCACAGTGATTTTTAAATGTGTAATTGAACGCAATTTGTTGTAGTTGTTTGAGCAGCGCAGTGACAGACAGTTGCGTTATGCGTTTCGAGCGAAACCTCGGATGTAACAAAAGGTGTTGAAACCTTTATATTTTAATAATTTAGCATTTCGTGTTGTTTTTTTTTTAGTTTGAATATATAGTGAGCCAAATGCATGCCTAAGATGAGCTTTACATTCCTAAACGTACACATTTTGAACATCTGAGAAGAATCGAATGATAGGAAGCAATGTCCTGCTGTGGACTCTGCATCGAGATGTTTCACAAGGGGAATACTAAAGGTACACTGATTTGACAATCTCATCCATCATTTCTATACCCAAGACAATTCCATGTGTTCCCAACCCCAAAGATGATGAGGAGTTTACGAAGACTGGTGCATTTGGTTCTGTTTTGCCCCATGTCAAAAGGATTGCAGGTAAGCACCCCTCTTTGCTGTGGTGTATCAGGGATGTCCCTGTCTAGTCATTCGAAATTGGCTAGTTTTAATAAGTGTGTCGTTGCTTCTTAAACTATTGAGCTATGTTTATTTAACCTCTTAAACCAGGAGCTTTACTTTACATACAGAAATGATTCTGCATTTGTACTGTATCTGGTGATGCGATCTAAAGCAACTGTTGTCATAGCCTACATAAGAAATCGTGTTTTCTATTTTACATAAGATGTATTCAGGACGCACAAGCAGCAGACCAACAAACGCATTTCAGTGTAAGGAATGAATGACTAAATGAAAAAAGTGCTTTACTATGACAGAGAAAATCGGATATTTTATTATACCAATTGTGGCCAAATATCCTGGAATATACTGTAGACGCTGTATTGTAAAAAGTGTGAATCTGAACAAAGCAAACTCGCCTTTCCTCTGTTGACATCATTGTCTTTCTTCCTTGTGCATGTCCTTCTTAAAAATACAACAGCCCTGTTGTTCATTCTCACTAAAACGGAGATATTTTCCAGTGTTCGCATCATCATGATTATCGAAGTGAGGCAGTCAGAAGGCAATTTTTAAGCACCCATTTTAAGGTTTATGCCAGCTTGACAGGAATTAGTTCTCCGTATATACTGTAGTTTTAGTGACGATGTGGTCTGATTTTTTACTGCATTACATACCTTACTGGAGACTATTTTAAGAGTCTTCGTCAACCTGTCCTTACGGTGGAATATTTCGAAAATAGCGCTAGAAAGCTTAATGTCTCAAATGTGTACAATATTACACGTTTCATAAAAAAGCTTATTCTATTTTATCTTTAGAAAATATTCCTTCTTTTAATACATTGTTTCTTAAGAGATGTTTTTTTACAGGGATGGTAACGTGCTCTCTTAAGTTGCTAATGTTTTGTTACAGGGGAGCATAACGTTATTCAAGATGCAAGGTAGCTAGATCATTTCAGTTATCTTGGGTGATTGGTTTGTTTTTATTATAATAGTTTTTCAAATGTCCCAGGCCAAGAAGTTACATATGAATTTGTGTGCCTGTATGTGTGTTCAAACTTTTAAGTGGGACAAGTTTATCAATAACATATTGTATTTGTGTGTTAATGCATTTGTACAATCTCACACATACAGTACACTTGTGAGTTAGTAGCTTGTGATGTGAGTTCATTATCTAAATTAGATCAATCATATACAGTAGAATAGTCCATGGTTATACATTTGAAACTCCTTTCAAATGTATTAAACATCACAAAACCACAATCTGATTGAGGCAGGAAAACTGGAAAAATACAAACTGATGTAATTTCCTGAAATTTTGCATTTGGAATTAGCATTTTATTCTGTAGATGTGCATGTTTTGAAAAAAGACCCAGTATGATTCTCACTTCAAAGGTGTCTGATTTATTGCTGGTGCTGTAGAATAGTATTGAATTAAAGAAGTAGTGGAATTAAAGAAGTAAGACTGATGTATAAATATATAGATTTACCTGAAATTCTTATAAGCCTGAGATGGCTCCTGTACATAGCATGTGATAGCAAATTGTTCACTGGAAACACATTGATCAAACACCCGACTGCACATGCAGAAATCAAGCTATTGATATGAGGTAATGCAAGCTAAAGTGATAACAATGCAACTGGAATTGCTGTCAATAACTTTCTTTTCCAATTGTGTGAATGTGCATCAACTGTTCACTAAAGGTCTGTCTCATTCCTTATTAGGGGCCTGCCCCACCCTTCTCTCAGTTTGTGAGAAGGTGAGGTGAGAAGGGTTCATATTCAGTGCGAGCTTGCTTGACATCATGTACATCTTTGGAACTGGTGGCTAAAACAATCAAATGTCCTAATTGGATAAGATGGTGATTGGATCATACAGACATTACTTGCAGTTTTTGCTATTTTTTTTTACTTTCAATAATCTGTGATTGCAAGAATCTGATTGTATTAGAGCATTCAGTATATTTGTAACCACACACCATGCTGGCTAAGAACTATATCTCATTTTCATTATTCAAGATTGACTCACCTAATGTAGGACTGGAGGAAATAGGATTAGGGTTATGAACATGTTCTAGGTATGTGAAAACAATGCAAGGACTATGGCATTTTATTACATTGAGCTGTTCAGTGCCAATACAATAAATCAGCAATATACTCTTTGGGGAGAGCTGTCACTAAAATTCTGTATTTAAGCCAAGCCAAGTTGTTTTGTACCAGCCCTAAATAGCTTTGCAATCTTAGTCTTATTGTCTCAAAGATGCTCAGTGTTTGCTTTTAGATTACCATATTGAAATTTTTCATTCTAGTCTTGGGCATCCTCAAATTTTGCCAGCCTGTGTGCATTATGTTTCTTCTAACACATCTTTCTGTTGGCCAGTTTAAAGTATTTATTTACTGGATCAGGCACATTTAGAGGGCCAGAGAGGTTGAATCTGGTTTGGCCTATTATTCCTTAACAAAATCAATTTCTGGTACACTAATTTAAGAGGATTGCAGCATATTTGATATTAAACAAAATTTAGAATAATCTTTAATATCACAATCTTTTTTTACATATCACCATTGCAAGAATACTCTAATATAAGCAATAAACTATTTAAATTTTCAGAGAAAATAATTCTGTAGCCTGTCTGAAGTGAACAGTAGGACGAATGCTGCCTGGATGAGACAGATTCCTGTTGGCGATACTTGGCTATCTCTTGCATTTAGGTACCCCTGAGGGACTGCAAATTATAGATAAAGGCTGTATCAGTGCTTTTCTGGACACAAAGGCCTTGCTGTTTCATTTTAGGTTCAGAGTATTACAAGAAGTTTTTGGCTTGGCAAGGAGTGTGTTTCAAACAATGCAAGTGTGTCGTCATTTTTTTACAGGCCAGCGCTTGGGAATTTGGTGGTGGTTTTGCAGCCAGATTCTGAATCGGTTTTCAGGTTGAGAGGTAGAAAACTAGAAAAACAAGTCAGGATTCTAAATTTTAGCACTTATATAACAATTCTACTTCTTTTTTAGATGCTTATTTTTATTAGAAATGCTTATGATATTTGAAAGAAGAAATGACCTTGCAGGCGTAATAGCAGAACACACCCTTAATAGCACAGATTTTTCTTAAATGTCGCTTGAAGCACCACCTGTCCTTTTTTATTTTTGCAGGCACTCCATTTAATGTTAAATTACTTTAACTTCATGTAGTGTGACCTTTTAGACTGGGCTCTTTAATAGAAATAAGGGACATTTTGACGAAAGGTTAATAAAGAAAAGAAAAAAAGAAAACAATTTCAGCCCCTTGGCACTGCATGGTATTTTGACACTGTTCTTCTTTTAAAGAGCCAAAGACTTCACTAAATATATGGTAGCAAAATTGCACATAACAGCTCTGAAATGTAGCTTAACTCTTGCATGCGTACCTCTGACTGTTAAATCTAAGCATTCAATTTAAAGTAAATTACTCAGAGCTCTAAAAGGAATCTAAAAAGAAGCTCTAAAAGGATCTATAGACACAAACATTGCATTCAAGACAGACAACAGGAGGCATTTCTTACCCAACATATTGTATGTGTCTGGAACAAAATGTCAGAATGTCCTTTTTTTCACATTTGTTATGTTAATTACAAGAATGCTCACAGTTTTCATGCACTAATTTTTCTAAATTTAGTTTAGTTTTCATGAGCAAATATGGCACTGTATACATTTACACTTTGAAACTCTGTGGTACCAGATTGTGACTGAAATTAGCATAAAGCAAAACACTAAACAGTGGTTTAGTAGCCTTTGGACTTTAAGACATAAGGATTATAGTAACACAATTTTATGGTATTATATGGTCAATAAGTATCAAGCTGAAGACAAGTTAACTTTTAAATTTGACCAGAAGATCTTGCTTTCTTTAGTCCGAAAGGTCCAATGGTAGATGTTTAGAGTAAAAGGTGGTAAAACTTGGTAAAAGTGTGGAGAAGTGTGTCAAAGCACAGGGAGAGGAAAGGTAAATCACAGTGCAGACTATGACAAAGCCACCTAAATGTATGGTATAATCATTGTAAGTAAACCTTTCCAGTCAAAGAGGGTGAGCTTTTCTAATGGATTTCACTTTATGCTTAGAATAAAGAAAAAAGATAAAGCTTCTTGCACTTTTTTCCCAGTGATTGCTAACAGTCTTTGAGGCTACTCTGTGATTTTTGCTTTCCTTTCTTGTTAGTGCTTTCCTTTGTGAATTACCCATCCATTATGGAGCCAAGTGTTGTCACTGATGTGGAAAGGCTGGATTTTAAAATGTGCCCTGGCAATTGGAGAGCTTGTATACTCCATGCCTGTGTAACTCTGGTTTGTTTGCCATGATGTACAGTATGTTGTGCTGTTTAGAAACCGAGTATCTTCTGAGAGAGAATAGTACCATATTCCATAGACTGAAGACATTCCAGTGTTGCAATTAGCCTATGCCCAGTAAATAAGTGTTCTTTGTGTTGGAAAAAATAACAGCAGGCAAAACCACGCTGATTAAATGGGTACATTTTTTAAAGAAATATTTATTGCTTAACCACCAGGATTCTCTGAGTGATAAGTTGTCCAAGGCTGTCTTCGTTCCCAAAGAACTTCCTGTGTGGTTCACTGTGTCATCAGCAAGGGACATGTCACTCCCCCAGTCAGCAGTGGATCACCTGGTACGTCACTGCAGAAGTTGTTGCTCAGTAGGAAATCGAATGGCTCAATGGGTGGATAGTTGGGTGGATGGGTGGAGGTTTTTGCTGTGAGGTGTATAGACGCAATGTCACAAACTGCATTCCTACGAGCACCTATCACTGCCAACACCCGCGCACTAATTAATCAATTGTCATTCCTCACGCTCTTCTCTATTTTTTCCCTCTCACTCCACTCAGTTCCCGCTCACTATTGAGAATAACTCTTATCTTTCTCTAAACTATTCTGGACCTGATTTTTGGCTACCTGGCCTTGTTTTCCTTCTGCTTCGACTTCGTCTCGCCTCTTGTTTGGATTTGGATACTCTTGACCTTACTCTTGTGATACCTGACCTAGCTCTTCTACCTCAAATATGACTTTTGCCTTTTGCCTTTGGGTTTTGGAAGCCAATCACTAGCTACCTACAGTCTCAGCGCTACATAGGGTACAACCAGGTGCTCCTAGTGCAATCCTTGACACGTAACTGGTATTCCCGACAAAAACATTATCTGAGGTTCTAAATTAGAAAAGATCTTTTATTGCTCAGCAATAAATTATAAGTTACTCTTATCTTTCGGCACACAAAATACACATGGATAGTCCTATCTCATTATTTATTCGAATTAAGTTATAAGTTTCTCAGTCTTTCATCCTCATTGCACTGTGCAAGTGTATAAACATTCCAGCCTTTTGAAATATCTTAGGTGTATTCATACCCACTGCATTGCTGATGTGTTTAATACTGTGCACTAAGCAAAGCCAGGTTAATGTAGCAGGGTTTGGTGATCAGTGTGAAATGGCTCTCCTTAGAATATACCAAAAAGAATGAAAGTAAAAACATTCAGACTGTTTTTTGGTAAACAATTACCAGTGACTAAATACACTGCTTTTTATGATAAGGAACATCTGCTTGTCATTCTCAGGCTTTGATCAGACAGTAAATTATATTAAAAAGGCCCTTGCCAGTAGTTCCAGGAACCGGTAATTAAACTGAAACAGCTTGTGAAATTGTGTTCCATAGGCTAGACATTGGAGTGGTCAACATCTCAGACATACTGTAGCCCCTGATATAGAAAGCAGTTTGAAGATGTTTGTTTGCTTGGTACATTTACTATAGCTTTAGTTATACCAAGCAAAAGTAGCTGTCCAGATTATCTAGTTCCTTTGGTTGATCTTCATTTCTGCTATAATCATGTTTGGAACAGCTCTCCCTCTTCCTCCTACATTATTTTTTTAAAACTTTGATTTGAAATAGGGTTTAGGTACAATTTTCTAGCTTTTGACGTTGTCTGAGTTCCTGCATGTGATATTGTATGTCTTTGGTTTTATTTAGAAATTAGCTAGATTGAAATGGGGGATTTAGTTTACGTGCCATAGAAATGATCTAAATTCATGGATTCACCATAAAAATAACGCACATTTGCAATAATCCGGGATTATTGATTATCCTACAAAAAGATGAGAATTTTAACATGAATGGAGAAGGTGTGGGAATTAATGAATTTGTTTAGGGTGCAAGGGGTTCAATGACATAGGGTATTGTAAGAGTATGTGGTAGCATTTTCTAAGCAAAGTGCAGGTCAATTGTGATTAATTAGAGGAAGAGATGCACATGGCTCCTTCTGCATGGTTGAGCATGGCATGTGTACAGTGGCATCTGTGCCCTCTGCTTCCGCTTCATCTCCCTGGAGTGGACGTTCATTGAAGGAGAAGTTATTCATCAGGATGTCCCTGAGCACACTCCCAGAAGACACATACTGCTATAACAACAATGCTCTAACAACAGAGGCTTGGACTGTCTGCTTGAATAAAGCACAGCTTTGGAAAGTAAGACACTCATTTTTAAGATCTTCTTGTAAATGGTTTGGAATTTTGTTTGTCATTTAAAATTTAAAGTGCCTTGGGAACTCATCTTTGCTGATGATGTGGCACTGATGGCAGATTCAGAAGTAGAACTACAGGAGAAAGTGTTCAAATGGCAGAGGCGTCTGGAAAAGGGTGGACTGAAAATGAATGCAGAAAAATCTGAAATAATAGTAATGGAGAGAAGAGAGATACTATGACCAATGTTGAGGAGACAAATGGAGGAAAACTGAAACAGGTTGATGGCTTTAAATACCTTGGATCAAAACTGGTAAAGGGAGGAGTTTCTCATGACTGGAGGCAGTAAAACAAAGAGTGAAAGCTGGATGGAACAAGTGGAGAGAAATAACTGGAATAATCTGTGACAGGAAAATTCCTAGAAAGCATGGAGCTGAATGCTTGGCAGTTGGAAAGATGGAAGAGAACTTGATGAGAAGAACTGAAATGAGGATGTTGAGATGGATTCTGCAGATTTCAATGAAGGATAAGATCAGAAATGAAGAAATCCGTAGACGATGTAGGGTGGTGGATGTGGTTGAGAAGATGCGAGAGGCGAGGTTACGGTGGTATGGAGATATCGTGAGGAGGGACGTTGAGGAAGTAACAAAGAGGGTAATGGAATTTGAGGTGGAAGGTAACAGGGGAAGAGGCAGGCCTTGAAAGAGATGGATAGATTGTGTGAGAAAAGATATGGAGGTATGTGAAGTGAGTGAGGAAGATGTGCTCGACAGAGACAAGTGGAGAAGAGCAACCAAAGCAGCTGACCCCAGGACAGTCTGGGACTAAGGCTGTGAAAAAGAAGAAGAAGAAGAAGATTTAAAATTTAAAGAAACAGGCTTGGATAATGTTTTAAATGTATGTGATTATAACCAACTTAATTGTCAGCATGGATGTAGCATAGTATTGACTCTGGTCTCACAACTAGTGTGTTGTGATGGAGACACTACAGTTGCACCTTGAGCGAAGTACTTTATCCCAGTTGCTCCAATAAACTCAGCTTAATGCCACAGAAACCAATTACAAGCTCTGGCCTGATGAGTTGCTATAGTATAGCTGAGATTTGGAAATCAACTCACTATTTTGCAGAGTTTTGAGCTGCAATTATGACTGCAGCAGAACATTGTTTCATTTAATTACTACTGACACTTAAGACCACAATCCATTTTCATTTTTTTATTATGCTCCTGCAGTTTTAAAAAAAGTTTTTTTTAAGTTTTATCTTTGATTGAGTCTAGCATCCTCTGTTCTATTTTTAAAGAAAAATAAACCCTTGAACAAAACCTGCACTGAAGTGCTGTGAACACCAATAAATTAATTAGCTATTTTGTGCTTTTAGTCAGTTGTCAAACGTCTTGTGGATTTTAAATAAAAAAGTCTCCTTGTTTCTTTTCTTATCAGTGATTTTTTTCTCTGTCAGATGATTAGGCTTTACAATGATAAGGAAAAGGAAGTGTAAAGGTTGCCCATTAACCTTTATCTTTCAATGTTTTTCACTCTTTAAACAGATCACTTTTACACACACTTTTAAACACACTTTTACAGAAAAAATGTTGTAGTAATAATGTTTTAGACATTAGCTCAGCCACAATTATGATAGATGTTCTTTGATTTCATGGGGTGTGCAAATGTTTGTCTAGGAATGTTTATTACTGTGAAATATATGTAAGTTAGTATTATTCCAGTTCTCATTTTGTGTAACATAAATGGGCATTCTGTTTGATTTTATATGAGGAAACTGAAATTTGGTCCATTAACAGCACAGATTTGTTTCCTGCTGAATTACCTATTTATAATTCACAAGCGATTGCTCTTGCGATACACTCTGACATTTTATTACAAAAAATTATCCATTGAATTTTAGAACATAGTTCAGCACTTTTTCCTAGTCTAATCAATGGGAAGCTGTGCTACAGGAACAGCATGTCAATTCACTTGTGTGAGGGTACATTAGTTGTCATACAGTCTTCTACATGCTATTGATACAGATGTATGATGGTTTTCCAAATGCTTCTACCTTGGTTGCTGAAACAGCTGAATTGACTTTCTCCAAACTTAATTATCCTTCATACCAAGCAGTGCTGATTAGATTTTGTTCGGGATCTCATCAAAGGACGCAGGCTAGAGGGCATCTATCACAAGGTTATTGCTATATGCTGGAAAATGAATTGCTTGTATCGTGGGAACTATTTGTTATATCGACTTGAAGCTTGGTTGATTTAACAACCACCCACTGGGAGTGCACACCAGTTTGTTCTTTATGGTGAAATAACTGCATTAAGATGGGGCAAGTCAAAAATGTCATGCACTTAAATCCATAACTCTAGTCCAGCAGAGGTGGCTTTGATATTATAGATGATTGCTTACATTAGAGTGGGTCATGAAACATTATTAATTGATTGAGAGGGATTTAGAGTTTAGGGAAAGAAAGGTGTTCAAAGCACAAGTGGTCCTGCCATAAGGCTCAGGGGAGCTTTATGAGCTTTTATGAAGATCCACAACAAAAGGAAAGGCACCCCTGGTTTAAGAGAAAGCTACCCCATTTTCAATGTATCCATAATAGGCATTGTTTTGCCTTGCCCAGAAAGTGAAAGACTGCGAAGAGGAAGCCAACTTCCTCTTGAGAAGCAAAAATTTTTTCAGGGGGATCCCTCCCAGTTATAAAAAACCTGAGAAGAAAACCCCCTTCTGGCAGGAAAAAAAAACTTGCAACTGTCTTCAAAACCTACTCTGTTTTCGCCTCCTGCCCATCTGTACAAGGCTGGTGATGCCCCAGCAACAAAGGCTACATGCCCCACCTTTCAATGCAATCTAATCCAGAAGATGAAAACTGTGATATACAGTATGACAGAGTTGGAGATCATTCTACATTTAATGAAGAAAAACATGACTAGAAATTGGTATTTGTGAAGCTGAAGTCTTGAACATACAATGATACAGCTTACAGTGGATTCTATTTGATTCCTCCCTTCTGGTAGCTGATTTCTATAAAATAGTGATTTTGACATGCTGCTTGTAAAAGTGTGAATGATGGTGTTGCACGAGGACATTAAATAACAATGCCATTAATCTTCCTATCCTGGAACACAGTACAGCAGACTCAGTTCCTTATTCCCTGTATATCTGTCTTTCTCTTCCAGAGCCGCCTGCCTGCTATCAAAGTGAAGTACCTCTTCCTGGCCTGGCTGGGGATTTTTGTCGGGAGCTGGGCTGTCTACATGCATTATTCATCGTACTCGGAGCTCTGCCGTGGCCATGTCTGTCAAATGATAATCGTAAGTGGATTTGCCCTTTAAGGCATGGCTGCACCTCACCTGTAATTTCCCTTATTCAGTTCTTACAGATGTGTATTTCCTATTGCACGAGCCCAGTGTGAACCTTCTGCTCATTCTCCCCCATTTTAAGCGCTCTACCTCAGTCATTTACTGTACCTCAGACTAGCCTAATGGTGAAAGACTTGGAACACTGAAGGAGCCCACTCTCCATCTTTGCCCACTTTGAGCCCTGAGGGATTTTTGCAGTGGTGTTATGGTATTGCCCTTGATAGAAAGGTCAGTTAGCAGGGCCATGCATTCTGCTCACTTCATCACATGCACTTCAGGTTGAACACCACCTCCCTAGAGACTATAAACCCATCTTACTTTGTCTTTTAGTTTAGTAACAACAGCTGTGCTGGTTTCTGCTTTTTTGGGGGAAAGGAAATGGCTCTTTTGGGTATAAATAAGAGGAATCTGTTCAGCCCATCTGGCCAAGTTAAACTTTCTTGTTTGTATAACGCCACTCTTAAAATGTCCTTACTCTGCCTTCACATGACACCCTCTCACCTATACGTGAGCAGTGTCGTGGCTGGAAGACACAAGCAGAACTGGCTGTGAATCATATGACAAAGATGAGCTTCTCATTTTATTTGCCTAATTGTTTTTAAACTCATTTCTTGTTTCTTATATGTTCAAAGAGACACTTTTGTAATTAAAGCAACCTTCCTGTTACATTGCAGAACCCAACCTGTTCCTTACTATACTGCTTACTATATTTTGAGAGCATGTAACCTTAGTTCTTGGAAATAGGAGGCTCTTTTATCAGTGAGGTTCACTCATTGTCATCTCCAGATTTGGCTGAAGTTCAAGAAGTAAAGGAAAATTACAAAATGAATCAAATTGTGTAGTTTGGTAATGTACTATTCAGGCAAGGCACCACATTAGTTTACAGTACGTGGTGGCAAAACACTTGGAATACATTTAATGGCAGGTAGTCCCTGTTGTATTTACAGTTTGTGCTTTAAAAAAGTTAGGCCACAAGCCAAAATAAAGGCTTCCCTTCATTTCTGTGTACCTCCTTAGAAAGTGAAGACAAGGCTATCAAAGCACAGTGGTGCGAAATGTGTCTTGACACGCTGCCTTTTAATGTTAGCTTCACCATTTATAGAGAAGGGACAAAACTGACCCATGGCACTTTGTTAGCAGTGCACTTATGAATTATTTGATTAAACTTCAGATTTAAAGAGTATAACATGACCTGTTTAATAAACTTGATTTCTTTCATGTATACATAATAGATGATAGATATAGTATTGTATATATTATATCCATGTGTCTGTTTAATTTTTGACATGATGAACAGTCAAGTAGATTTTGAACTTTTGGTTGATATTTAGACTATGCTTCATTTAAATGCCATCTTCTAGGTGCTCTTCTAGGTTGTGCAGAGCATGAGAATTCTTAGGCAATGGAGCCCACCTAGTAAGGAATGCACAAAACATAGTGCCAGCAGCATAGAAACAAGTAACATGTTTCAGTTTTGAATGAGGCAGATTCAGATTTTTTGGGGGGAACCTGTTTTGTTTCATGCTGTTTTAGGTTTGTAAGTGAAGGAGATGTGTCCTTTGGCCAGAATTTCTCTGTGACCTCTTGTAAGGACATGTTGTCAGCAAATTGTGATTATTATTGGAATGTTCTTCCTGCTTCCTGGCACAAATGTAACACAATGTCACAAGTTTTGACATGACCACTAAATAAATACATAATTATTATTACCAAGCCTAATACAGTAATTCCTGTCTTAATTGGCAGTGCTTGTGGGTGTATTTACATTGGGCTGAAGCAGCAGATATTGATGTGATTAAGCTGTTCTGTGATTTTTGAAGTAGCCAGTTTAAATTTAAGTGAATTACATTATTCTTCCATTATAAAATAATGGAGACTAATGTTAAAATGTACAGCATTGCAAAGCAGGTGTAACATTATTATTCAGTAACTTGGCTGATAGCTTTACTCAACACAACTTAGATGAGGGGTTTCTGACCCTGGGTCTGGAGAACACAAGCCTAGTTATTCATACAGTGACCAAGAATCACCTGCTTTTTTAAACTAGTAAATTTAAATGTACAGAAATTGAAAAAAAATAATCTCTAAATTGATTAATTAAATTGTGATTAAATGACAACCTACTGTATAAAACCCATGGTATAAGCCAGGGTTTAAATTATGTTTAGGAAATAAGTGGTAATTGTACGAATCATAAATGCATCAGGTATAGCCATCTGACAAAGAAATCCTTATCAGTGCACCCCTAATATTTAAATATATATTATTGGAAGCAAAATGATGAACCAAAAGGACTTGGGTAAATGTTTTCTGAATAGGTCTGCTGTGGGTCACAGAATTTTGATGGTGCATGTTTAAAAGGCCATTAACTCAGCTTGGGATAATGTAATTGCTGGTATTTATCTTTGCAGTGGTCATTATAGTGTATCATGAAAAATTTAATAGCCAGGCTTGTCCGCCTCATTCGTTTCTTATTACAGTTTTATTCCCCTTTACCTCCTGTCCTCATGCTGGGGAGGCAGTCTGGTTTTCAGGATGTGGGCTTAAGTTACAGTGGGTCCATGGCAGTATCACGCAGGATAAATGAACAAAAAAGACTCTGAAAAGTATTTGGGGGGTAGGGGATTTTGTTCAGATGTGAGATGTGCACAAACCCAGTTGTGTATTAATATGGTATCTTCAGATGTGCCAGTTAGAAATATACAGTAGCTCTTTGTATGATATCCTGTGCATGCACGAACAATTCATAGGATAGCATAGTCTTTTCTAAAGCATGTGTGCATGTAGAAATCTGGCATAAAGACCTTTTTCTCAATGCATCACAATAGATTTTGCTATATTAGGAAGTACCTCAGTTGCTGGATATGCCTCTACAGTCTATTTTACTGTTTATTTGGGATTAATTTAGGGATAGTTGGCATTAATTAAATTTTCTTTATAAATAACCAGGACCCCCATTTAATATTTTGAAATCTATTGGTACAGTATTAGTTTCCATGATAAAGCAAATTGTGCCCTACCAAACAATTTAGGATTAAGTGGAATACATCTTCTTCAACGTATCGCGTTTAGAAACTGAACAAAATGAAGGCAGAAATAATATTACTTTGAATCTGTGAATTTTAGAACTCAGTCTGTATACATAGGACATTAAAATCACAAAAATGATTAAAAATTAGATCTCAGTAACTTATTTAATTCACTTTACTATAGTTGGTTTGGTTTTTTTCAAGAAGAAAAATCCCCGATATTTGTTTGAAAGATGTCTCTATTGACAAATGTGTTAGGTATAACAACATAGTGGAGTAGCTCTTGTATAACTGAAGCTTCTTCTAGCTCAGTGCTTTTAGTGCTTAAAATGTCAGCTAATTTAAAACTTTACAATGCCCCCAATTACTCCTGTCACTCAGACTGTGCTGTGGAAAGTCATACTGAATTTTCTTTTTCTGCTCCTAAATGACATTCCCAACATTATCTTCTGCCTGAGAGAGATTTTGAACAGTAAAAAGTCATACTCCTGGTGTTAGCTGCCACGTTAGGGGAAATGACCTTGAAACCTGACACTAAAAACAAAAAAGAGTCTTGTTCTGGTTTACCAACATAACTGCTCCAGGTAAGGTAGTATTTTTCATTAAACGGAAACAAATGTTTTATCATTTGTTTCTCTTAACAAAAATACACTAGGAATCAAATTCACTCCCAGTTTGAAAAATTGCATGCATTTCCAACCAATTGGAGATTGTATATATGTATATATAGCTCACCTACTTATTCACTGATTTCAAAGAAGACCTGAGTTATTAATCATATCTAAATACCTCACATTTTTATACTAAAACTTGAATTGAATATTAGATATCAGTTTGAGTTCATGTATCTTTACTTAGTAGCTTTTTCCCCCTTAATTTTAATACCTTGTCTCGTATTTTCTTTAATATTTAATGGATCACAACAAAGGAAAAAGTGTTTTCTTGTCATTTCCCAGTGTTACATGCTTGGGGCTCAGATCTGAACAGTATGTTACTTTTGCATATTGATGCATACAGTATGTTGCAAGGCATTCATCACCTGCCAGAGATTCAGCATGCAGTCCTGTGACCACAGAGGTTAGATTCATTCTGCAATCTGTTTGGATTCCTCATGGAAATAATCAGATTAAACGGTGAATGTCTGCTTCATTTTTATGCTATATAATGCTATAAAGGAATAAAAAATTGAATGCAAATAAACATGCAAAAATTTGCATCATGTTACAATATACGAATCCCAAAACAATAAACATCACTTTTTTGCTGTGTGTTTATGGTTACCAAGCTGAAGCTCAATGGTGGTTAAAAATCTCCTTACTCATGGTGAACACCCTAGAGACAGCGTTCACCTAGTGAGGCAATGCATCCCTGTACAATGAAAGGAACTGGTTTCAAGCCCTTGAAGCCCAGTTTCACCACTGGGCTCTGAGACTTTATGTGATGCTAATGATGTATTTTCCCTCCATTGTTACCCTAATCTTGTTTTCAGGACCTTAAAAAGACTTTTTAAATCAAAAGTGGAATCAACATAGCAGACATGTAGTAAAACAATAAAAAAACTGATGCAATTAAGAGATTCATAGAGACAATATTGTAATACATATAGGGAAATCGTCCATGAGGAAAAGCTCATTTTTTATCTGATGAAGTTTGCATTTTGCCCTAAATTCTTTTCAAAGCAATAACAAATATCAAGAATTGAACTTGGTTTGTGATTTAAACGCAAAAGAGTGGAATGATCCTAATCTGCAAAGGAAGTATTTTTCAATTCCGCTCCCAGTACCTCTGTCCCTCTTGGTTTTCATCCCATTTTAGCTTTCTTTAATTAATTTTATCAAACTCTTAATTAAATTATGTTTTTTAATAGTTTCAGCTAGAAGGAGGGTTTTAAAAATTGCCAGGTGCTAGGTTTTACAACTCCCTACATTTAAGACAATTATTTAAATGACCAGATGGTGTTCTATATATCATCAAAAAATATCTCACCTGTTTCTGTTCATTAATTGATAATCATTTCGAGAGCCATAAGAGACCTAAGTGAAGAAAATAGTAAAAATTAAGAGTTCAGCTGGATTCATAATTAAAAGAGACAGGGTCCTTCAGGATGAGGGAACTCTGTGCTAGGGTAAGTGTGGCACTGCAGGGTGAGTGGGATCAGAGCTTTCTGTCACTGCTGCAAACAGCCTTGAGGGAGAGTCAGATAAAACAAACTACTGAGGCTTTGTTCATTGTGCTGGGCAGGGCTAAAGTATACATTTCTATTGGATGACAGCCTCTGGATAGTTAGCTCTAAAGCCTCAAACGCCAGCAGAGCTAGAAAAAGCATGTTGCTGTGGTAACCAGTGAACACAATGCAGGAAGTCAAAGAGTACACTTTGTGTGGCAAACAATGTCTGTCCTCTCACTCAGTAGCAGAAACGATAGAAAAAGATGTCAAAAGGTTCCTGTACGCACCTTTCAGATTGTTTCATAAACATGACACGAATTTAAATAACCACAAAGATTCCTTGGGGAGTAAATATTTGTACATTCAAATTTGTTTCAAACTCGAGGCCATTTGTCAATGTGGCATGTGCTTTTTTTAAGTAGGCCTTGTTCAGGATGCTTTTTACATTCTCTTACTCTAAAGATGTTTGTTTCCTATTATTTACAAATAGTTACATTTTATGTCAATGTTACAATGGAAGTGACTTTTTCCAGGTTAGATTATTCCTCTGAAATGTCCTCCCTGTATTCTAACTACAGAATCCTTCATGTAGTAGCTATGTTATGTTATGTGACATTGATATTGCAGTTCCGTACAAATGTAGTGAATAAATGATTTCAAGAAAAAAAGACAGTCGAGTCAAAATAATGATTGAAACCGTGAATTAATTTCTGAGCTTTAATATGTGTATAACATGTGAATTGATTTTTACAATTAAAAACAGGTATTCATATAAACATTTATAATCTTATCAAACTCAAAATATTTTATGGATTATGTAATTCATCTTTCAATGTCTGTGAGAACACATTGAGATTATCATGCCTTTTACATGTTTTACATTATATATGTGTCATGTATTCCACAAAATTATTCCTGAATACTCACGTAAAGGGACTTCTGAGGCCATGTCTGTCATCTTGCAATAGAATTTGAGAAAACATAATGCATTTCTCTTTCAGTGTGACCACTACAGAAGGGGCATCATCTCTGGGTCCTCCTGCAAAGCTCTCTGTGAGGAAAACACGCTGATATTACAACACTGCCTATCCTCAACACCCACACACCAGGTACAGGCGCATCGCAGTTCGTGAACAAGAGTCTGCAATTCAGTGATGCTCCCTTGCTTACTCACACCCAGTTAATCGAGTCAATTCTTGAAGGGATCAATATAACCCATTTTGCAGCTTAAGTCCAATAAACAGAATAATCATCCTAGAAAGAGTTGAAATTACATTGCCAAACTGTTATTACTGCATGCTACACAAAATAAGACAGTATTATTAATTGAGTGTTTACATTGCTCTTTGAAATTTGGAAGTACAGAGACATCAGGGGAGATGAAAATATTACTATTTTTTTTTTACTGTAATGCCTAGGTTTGTGAATATCTTTGCATGTTAAAATTGATGGCAGTCAGTCTATAAAAAGATCCTACAGTGACTGAAGATATGATTGTTCAAGTGAGAACCCACAACCCTCTCTAGCCCCTACTCTGTGCTGCTGGCTGACAGTCCTTTTTGGTTTACAGGTCTACAGCGGAGCCTGGAAGGAGAAGCCGGTTATTATCAAGTGTGGTATTGAAGAGACTCTAAGGGGCGATGGCAGCCCTGATTCTGTACCCAGGAAAGAGATGACACTCTTTGATAAACCAACCAGAGGGACCTCCATGGATGAATTTCGAGAAATGCTCCACAGTTTCCTGAGGGTCTGTTTTCACTTTTATACATGACCCGATAATATGAGACTGCATACCTTAGTAAACAGCCTATCAGTTAATTGATTGCCTGGAGTTTGCCATCTACTTTAGAGAATGTAATAGTTGGGAAATGAACTTGGCTTTGTTTCATAGGACAGATCTGCCCATTCTGTGGCTTAAATGGATATACTTAGAGATACAAGTAGTTCTCTGTTTATAGTGGGACACAGTGGCACAGTAGTTAGCATTTCTGCTTCACACAGCTGGGGCCTTGGTTTAGTTCTGGGGATGCTATCTGCATGTACTGTAGTTTGCATGTTCTCCCTGTGTCTGGATGGGTTTCCTCCTGGCGCTCTGGTTTTCTCAGACTGTCTAAAGAGATTCTGGAAGATTAATTGGGAAAATTGGGCCTGGTGTGAGTGTCTATGTTTGTCCTGTGATAGACTGGCTCCCCCCAACCCTGAAATGGAAGAAGGAGATAGAAAATGGATGGATATGTTGTAAATCAGGGGTTCTTAACACCTTGCCACAAACTACACGTAGTGGTCCTGCATCCTCTCCATTTGTCTGTGTAAATCTGTTCTGTTCAGAGTTTTCTGTTGTGCGTTTCTCCACATTGTCTTTAGCTCTCACTCTTCCAGTACCACCTAGTAAAAAACGCTCCATTACTAGGCTAATCAAGACTACCTTGCGCGGAAGAAAAAAATGCTACAAATATAAATGCAATCGTGGCCCACCAAATAGAAATTAATAAAAGACATTACGTGGCATGCAGGTGGTGCCATTGTAATAGACAGAGCTTGTACACACTCATCAAAATTATTTTAGTTTTTTTTCACGTCTTTATAGCACCACTCTCGCCACCCCCAGGTTAAGAATCCCTGATGTAAATAATGCCTCTTAACTCAAATATGTAAATTGAAAACTAATTTCCTGTAAGAATGCAAGTGAATAGATTCCAGATTCAGTGGAAGGATGTGTTCTGAATACATTCTTAACTGGAATATTAACTGGATATTAAATTCCTGAATAAAAAATATGAATATTTATTCATGTAAGATATTTATATAGTTATAGTAAAATGTGAAGAAAGTCTGTTAGTGGTGGGTAGTGAATGCTAAGAAAAATACATGAGTCATGTAACCCATAGACACATCTGAGATACACAGTGCAGATATTTTAGGTCCTCTTCCTCTGTCTGTTCACAAATGTATTTAAAAGTCTCTTAACTAAGACTAAAAATAATATTTAGTTGATTTTTTATTGACTGAATAGACTGTTTTGCTTAATCATTTTATTGTATATTAAAGTGATCTGTTTTTTTTGTTTACGGATGTTTTCTATTGAATTTCATTAACGTTTCAAAGTAGTTTAATCAGTTTGATGACTTTATGAAGTTTATGTTAGAATTTTTACAATTTAAACATAATTTAACAGACTAAGATAATACAGACATTTTATAGATTGATTTAATCAATGTGGGATGATGGAGGTAAACAGTGGCTGGAAGAACACAAAGACTGCCCAGCTGCCTGTGTGTCACCCAAGTGACTATTTATCCCAGGGCAACTGAATACTTGCAGAGTATGTTGTCTTGAGCAGTGGCCTATTTCAGATTATGGCTGAGCTTGTTAACTGTTAACTAATTTGTCCTTAATTAGAAAGCAGTATATATTCTTGAGCCTTGTTAAACCAAAAAAAGCACAAATTAATAGCATATAAATCAGAAATTACCTGTGTGTTAAATCTGGGAATAGGACATTGCAGCTGAAGAAATACAGTAAGTGCCAAAAATAGCTATAGAGTCAACTAGAATAAATCAAGGCTGGCATCAGCAGACTGCAACCAGCCTTGAGTGTAATGCTTAATCAACTAAGAGGAAGGTTAACCCTTGAAAGCCAAATGACAAGACTAAGCACAATTGAGAGGCTTGCCATTGAGAAGGAACTGTTAAAAGATTTTCCAAAGTCTGTCAGTTGGAGTTCATGTGCACACACTTCTTTTTTCTTCCCCTCCAGTCCAATCTTGGTGAGCAGCCATCTCTGGGGAGCCTGGTGGGCCGCGTTATTTCTCTGGCAGATGTCAATCAGGATGGGAAGGTGTCCCTGGCTGAGGCCAAGTCAGTGTGGGCGCTACTGCAGGTCAACGAGTTCCTACTCATGGTGGCGCTCCAGGAAAAAGAGCACACCCCCAGGCTGCTGGGTTTTTGTGGTGACCTGTATGTGACTGAGCAAGTGGCTCACAGCTCCCTCTACAGGCTGGAGGTTCCCCGCTATCTGCAGCCACTAGTCCCTTCAGCCCTGCACTCTAGTGTTAACCAGTGGCTGGCTCCAGCCTGGCCTCGGAGGGCCAAGATCACTATTGGGCTGCTGGAATTTGTGGAAGAGGTCTTCCACGGCTCCTATGGGAGCTTCTTCATGTGTGATGCTAGCCCCCGGCACATTGGCTACAACAGTAAATATGACTGCAAGATGGCGGACCTGCGAAGTGTGGCTTCTGAAATGTCTGTGCGGGGATTCCTGAAGGGCCGGCGCTGCGAGCATAACAGTGATTGCACTTATGGCAAGGACTGCATGGCCACTTGCGACAAGCTGGTCAAACAGTGCAACACGGAAGTGGTGCAGCCCAACCTGGCCAAGGTATGCCATCTCCTACAGGACTTCCTGCTCTTTGGCGCTCCGCCTGACCTCAGGGAAGACCTGCAAAAGCAGCTAAGAACTTGTGTCACCCTAAGTGGCCTGGCCAGCCAGATGGAGGTGCATCATTCTTTGGTCCTCAACAATCTCAAAACCCTGCTATGGAAGAAGATTTCCAATACCAAGTATTCCTGAAGGAAGGCCTGTGAGGGACCTGTCATGGAATATTGAAGGATTCCTTCTATTGCAGAGGGGTGGGCAGATATATTCATTAATACTAGTTATGTTCTCTTGAGGTTCTAGAGCTCCAGAAGCCAAGCTTTTTTTCAAAGGCCCAGTTTAATTTTCTAGCTCAGGACTAAATGCTGTTGGGGCCCTTATTTGAACAGTTTTTTAAAAGTAATGTAGTGCTGAAGTTCTGTTGATTTATATGTGGCCAGTCTTATTCAGTACTGTTTAATACTGAAGGAGGTATTGCATCTGGCTGGTAGGGAACTTCTAGGAAGTATGAGACAGACCACAAATGTGTCATCTATTGTCCTTAAATAGATTGCTTTTCAAGTTTTGTTTTGCCTTCAAGCTGGTTCTCTTTTGCTAAATCCTTCACATTCTCAGGGTCTGTTGTATGCTGCTGAAGAGACAAAAGCATGGTATTTTGTAAGGTGGTTAAGAGTTATGGAATGGAACTGCCTTTTGTGAAGCATTTACAAATTCAAGACATCCATGCATTTTTAGTCACTTCTTTATCCTTAGAATGTTATGGTGAGTCAGCCGTTCTGACAGAGTGGGACTACACCCTGATACTAGTATGCTAGTCCATAGCAGGATGCCGTCTAAAAGCATTCATTACCATAAGGAGACAAGACAAAACATAGACCTGTTCAACTAGGGGCTGATCACTGTTAAATGTCAAAGCGTTTCACATATAAATCCTGCACTATAGACCAATTCACCCTGCATTTGCCCCCAACAGAAAGCTGTTAATGAACTGTTTAAGTAGTAATGTTCTACTGGATTTCTAGTTCTCATTTGGGTGTGTCAGAAGATCCAGTAATCTTTCGTGTCCCTCATGGTATTGTGCAGAAGGGGGTTTCCTTTCTACATGCAATTATTACAACCTCTTTTTCCAAGCAGATTCTATAGCAGAAACAACTACCCTTGTATTATAGTGCATTGATGTTAATTAATTTTAACCTAACCTAATTTTAACCTAAATAGAGGTTAGGTTTATTAAGAACTAACCTTTTTAAAGATTACTTTATACAAACAAGCTGGCCGCACTATTCTGCACATCAGCATCAGCTCAGATGGGCATTCATTAAAAAAATGGAGGCTTAAATACATCTGACAATCCACTCTCAAATCTGTTCTGGTGGCACTAACGAATTAACAGAAAACTACAATCTCAAGAAAATGTGAATACTTTTTTGCGGATTTTTAAGTAAACAAATAATAATTGTTAGTAAATATAACCGTGATTCTCATTTCATGAAACTAACTCTACAAAAAAAGCTGCAGCAGGAATCGGCAAATCCATTTTCCCCAGATTTGAGTCCTGCAGGTGTTACCTTTCCAAATCAGCACTAACAAATAATTAGGTAAATTAAGTAATTAAGATCTTGAGAGGTATAGAAACCAGAGGATCTTCAAGGCTGAAGACTTGGTGTTGCCCATCCCTGCTATAAATGCTGATGACCATTGTTTATGAAATCAAAACATTTAGAGTGTGATTTTGTAGTAAGTGGCCTGTTCCAACAATTATATTGTACAAAACAGCAGAGAGAACAATACAAAAAAAAAGGACAGATTTTGTATAAAACAATAGTACACACCAGAGGATGTATGCAGGCTCAGCTGGACACAAATGGTGGGCATATTGAACTGATGTGGTGCCCTCCCAACACTATGTTTGAGTACCCCAGTTTCATTCCTCCCCAGAGTTGTCCTCACAACATATTTGAATAGTCCTGTTAACTAAAACAGGAGAACAGTTATTCTCCTGTTTTAGTGGGCCACCCAACTTTAAAATCTTTTTTTGTGAACTGAAATGATTAAATATGGTCTTTGCCAGCAGGACTACCAAGCACAGCAAGAATGAAGCCAGCGTTTCCACAGCACGACGATTGCTCACCACTGGTCAGTTTTTAAAATTTGTAGTTCAAATGCAAGACTTGAAATTCTTCTAAATACATTATGCTTTTCTGAAGTGTCTTCATTTGTAAAGGTTGTGCACATTCCCAGTTACTCCCTTTGCTGTATTAAATGGACACAAGCAATTTTAATGCTTTTGTTTGGCTCTTACCCCACTTTCTGGTCTTTTCTTTCCTTGCTTTGCAAAGGAGATGTTCTCTGCAAACACTACACTTGCCAAAGGTGTCAGATTATAAATTGGTGAAAAGGGATTGACATATGGATACACTTATGTGAAAGCCAGGTCCAGTTTAAGGGGTCCATAAGATTAAAGATTTTTACTTCTATCTGTTAACGGTCTCAAATATGGCCATCTCAAGGATAAAACTTTAAATATGCAGTAAATGTGACAAATGCATCAATACTGCAGTCTCCAGGAATATCTGAATTATGATTTACACAGTCTTGAACTGAGCAAGAAGTTATCTTGAAAAACCACAGGGTTCCCACTCATTTTTACCAACAAAATCCAAAAACTTTCTCATGATTTCTAACCAAATGTCCATTACTATATTTATGCACTTTCATGAATACGTTGACCTTACAATTGCTACAATTTGTGGGATTTAGTGCAGTGGTATTTATTTCATTCCTTGGGAGCCCCTTGCCTACACATTTTTCCTCTAACCCAACTCTTGCACACCTGATAAGGGTTTGGTGATTTGATTATTAGTTATTTCAGGTATGCAAAAGCTTGGGTAGAGGAAAAATACATGGGCCAGTTCAATACCACTGACCATAATTACAATTTACAGAATGACAAATATCTTAAGTGTAAGGCCACCCTTATTTATTTCATAGGAAATTTGTACAAAAAAATCAAAATAAAAGCTACAGATTTTCCAGATACAAAACTCTCATTTGAAATATACCGATAGAAAAAAGAAACAACACCTCCTCCACCCTCTGGCCGTCCCATCTGTGTGGAAGAGTTTGAAGAGAGACTTATCCGTGAAGAGGAACTGATGCCACATTAAGTCCATCGCAGCCTCTGTTTGACCCAAGCCAGTCGGGTGTCACATCTAGGAGCTGTGAGCAGAGGGCCTCTGACAGGTCGCCTTGCTCTAAGGGCAGCAGCATGGAGCCTCACTGCCCCAGCACTAATGCAGGCTTTCTGTCTGGTGGCAGTTTTGGCAGCAGTATGGGTAGCAGATCTGAAACAATCTCTCAGATGGGTGACTTGATCTTGGACAGTCATCTGTCCTGCCGGTCTGCTGAAACCTTCACTGCAGTTGGAACACAGTGGAGAGGCTTACATCATAGTGTCTGGCCATGCTGGCACATGACATTCCTGCCTTCAGCATGCCAATGGCCTTCTCCCTTGCTTCTGGTGACATTTGAGGCATTATGGAATGCACAGAAAACTGACTGTGGCCCTTTTCTTGCAGTGACCTAAGCTTTGATTAAGGTCTTTTTAAAGGTGACCTGGATCTGGCATTGTTCCACCTGGACCTCGTTGGGTTAAAGTGCACCTAATAAACTTTTGTGCGATTGGCAAGTTGCAATGTCTCACTGTACAAGCTGTATTGCTGGTCAGAAGGCTTAAAACAAATTGCCAACTTTTTGTGAAAGTAAAAAAAGCTCTCATTCCAGAAAAGTTGCATTTCTTTTCCCCACCAGTATACGTTCTTGCATAGCATTACTTTTCTTTTACCTGAACAGCATGTTCCCTCCCAGCCCACATAGGCTAAGAAAACATATGGCCTTTTTCATCCGTAAACACAAACTCTTTTCGGTCTGAATAACTTCGAGTACCTCAACCTCTTAAAAAAACCAAAACATAGTAAGTGCAACAAATTCTGAAAGTGGTCAAATATGCAGATCTTGCATTGCCACAAGAAAATCTAGCTGCAATTTTGTAGTCACAGAACATAGTTTTAAATGGCTACCTACTTTCAGCACATAAAACCTCAGCAGAAAGTACATCATTGTTAGACACTCATGTCCATTTGCTTGGCCATCTCACTGCATGAGGCGATGGCGCTAACCTTTGCCGTCATTAAATTAAGGTAGATTCATCACCAACATTATAAAATAATGCCTTACAATATAGATCAAAACAAAATCTCCTTTAACAGAGGTTTACATAAATTGATGAGGTCTTTACATCAGAAATCTGAAAATTCAAAATAATTTATAGTACATCTTTAAAAATAGTGAATGACAGAAATTTGCAGAGAAACATGCTTGACAATCCTGGCTTTAATCCAGTGGGTATTATCAGAACAACCTCTTCACCCACTGCTTTTGGCTTAGCTGTTCTCAACTTTTCTCTAGGGAATGGGTACAGCAATTTAGCCAGATCCCTCAATGATCAAACAAGTCTTGCTACACTGGGCAAATAGGTCATCACGTTAACTTCTTTACTAGGGAGCCAGTTCAAGCCTTCACCATATGGTTCAAAACATCAGGATTATATCTGCATCTGCTACTTATACAAGCAAGGCTGTGTGTAACATGTTCTGCAATTATTGTAGTCAAAGGCTGTCCAGTCAAGATGTGAGGTTTCTCAGGAAACAAGGTTGCAGCCAGTCCAAACCTACAAAAACAGAACAATCTGAATGAAGATAGTGAAAAAGCAGTCACATCACCTATTCCATCAACTGACATACTCACACACTACCACCACCATGGTTACATGAGTCAATTTTCAAAACTTACAAAGTGACAAATCAACAGTATTTTAATCCAGTGCAACAAACCAATTTCTTTCTTAATTAGAATACACATCTATTTGCAAAAATAGACTGGAATAACAACCCTTTGAAAATTTAGTAAAAAAAAGCACCTGCATTTTTTTAGCATCTGATTTTCATTAATTGAACCAAGCTTGTCTTGGAAGTACAGGCTTGACAATTAACTGACAGCTATTGGTACACAATGTTTTTTCCCCTCTCTGAAGGGCAGTGTTTGTGAAGAGGACCGCCCTGAGCTCAGCTGATCGCTGTTGTAATACAAAGCCCTCATTGGCACAGTTCCTAAAATCACTGGTCATTAAGCCAGGACTGGACAACAACTGGCAGTACTCCTTCAAGAAAAGGATCAATGCTATACATCTGTCTTACCACCAGTGCCTATTCAATGTAAAAGGTAACAAAAAGCAATGATTCACTCAGATGAAGTTGAGCTTTACACCCAAAATAGCCCATGGTGAAACTGAATAATTAGAATTCATTTTCCAGCTGCTATTCTACCTCAAGAATAGAGGTGTGCCAATAGCAGTTGAGCTGATTTCCTGCTAGTACTGTAAATTGGACATCTGACCCTTTCTAATACCGCCTTAACATAACTTTTGCAGTCTGTGGAGGGAGGAGTGAAAGGCTACGATCTTAAATGGGCATTTTCCTCATTTGTTTTCTATACTCACAAGGAGCATGTTGATATAAAATAAAATCACATTAGATTCACTGCAGTTTGTGTGGCACTGTGTATAGATTTCAGACAGCAGGATGTATGAATGTCTTGTTTTAGGAGTGGAATTCCAATAGATACCCACTGAAGTGGGTCAGAACTTGCTTCAGCATGGTACATTTACCATCTTTGTATTGGAGCATACATGCAAACAAGGGTTTTATTGCACCTGTGCATATGACAAACTGAACTGAGACTACATGACCGTAACTAAAAAAAAAAATCAATGCAATTAACCCTAATACAGGCCTATGCATAATTAGTACAACTGTTTAGTTAGACTACAAATCATTAACTTCAAGCCTGTAAATTTAACATGCTAAAATAGAATCTGCACGTTGTTTCACCTGCATGCTAGATAACCTCTAAAAAAAAAAAAATGATCACCTGTCATAAGGAACTTTAGCAGTCATTTACTTTACAGAAAAAGGGAGCACACTCTTGGAAGTGTGTAAAGAAATGTTAATTGTGCAGTACTGCTTTTTGTCAGGCCATCAATCATTCTGAGCACCCACTTGTCTGGGACACCGAGCGCAGATACAGCCCATTTCTCTCCGCCACCTAATGACACACACACGACACATGCAGTCATGATGCAACGCCTCTAGGGGCTGGAACCCAGAGCAATCAAGAACAGATGCTTAGGATGTTATGGTGAAACCGAGGCACAGTAAAATCCACAAAGGGTATACTCACTCTTTCCAAACACCAGGTAGCATCTAGATCTTCTGCCCGATTTGTATCTTTATGACCACTTATTTACCTGTAAATGTTTGGCAAAGAAGTGACAAAAACAGTGAGTCTAGCAATGTCAGGATTTGGGTCACTCCAAGGGAAGGCAAATCAATTACTGGAGACTACAAGGGGAATTTAAGCACCTACATGTTTTTAGAACCAAGGAGAGAATTTTAAAATTACCTAATGGAAATCAAACATATTTCTAACACTTTAACTTGGATGTTTAATCCATAACAAAACAGTTCAACAAGAATATTAACCCAGTCACCAAGCTTTAATGGGTTACTTTAACAATGAATACTTCCATGACAACATTCCACCAATATCTCTTAAATTTGAAACCTGGAACTGCAAAGAAAACGGTCTGTAGTCTAGCATTGGTATGAGGTCCTAGACAAAAAGCTGGAATTTGTATTCCAGCAGCACCAACTGCAAACCCTATATCAAGTATAATTAATTTTGAGATTCACTAACAGCATGCATAACTGGTCAGGTTTTTACAGTTTGTACCAAGCAGACTGAAGGAGTACTACTGCCTCTTGGGTTTATGGGCTCTATTCTATGTGGAATTTTAATGTTTTTTGGTGTTCACACAGACTGCCACTGAGCAATGCAGTTCCTGCTCAATTACAAACATGCTGGTATGAAAACTGGCTACATAAAGTCAATGGGGTATCCAATCTCATTAATCAGGAGCAACTCTTGATACCTCTCTGCCCAATATTCAGATTGTAGTGTGGGATTCTGGGATACAACACTGCTACCATTTTATAGCCCGATAAGATGTCCACAGCTGAGCAAGCCTGGGTCTGGTCTGTACTGAGATGGGAGACCTCTGTTGACAATCTACCAGCAAGTGGCACACTTTACCCTCTCAGAATTTCAAAATCAATGCCTTTGTTTGGCAACTGGAGCTGTAAAACTCTTCTGGGAGAGACATTAAATCAAATCAACACCCCAGTATGTAGTCATTAAACATTACTGCACTATTAATAAGAAAGGAATGTTGGTATCCAAACCAATTTATTTTTTGCGTTTCTTCAGTCTGGCTGCCTTGTAAACCCCTCCCAATTCAAACACAGAAAGTAATTTCTCCATCTACAGTGTATAAGTGTGGCTAGAACATTATCTCCCTTTGAAGACACTAAGAAAAAAACGGAGACAATGCTCTGGAATTTATCTGGCCACGTACCGTCCTTGGAGCTCACTCTGCAGAAGCCCAAGGCCATTTATGGCCAGTTCCTGTTTGCCCTCTTATGGCATAAACATGGCACTCAAACCATGATTACGTCTCATGGGGCAAATTTCATCTCAGGCACTGGCTGCATAATTAGCAGCTAACATTTGTACAGCTCCTTTCATCTCAAACCATTCAACCTTAATATAAATTATTTTTCTTAACTAAGCTTTTAAGCTTTCAAATGACACTTAACTTGGGGTATTTATGGGGATAGCATGGCAGTGGTTTACAAGTTGGTAAGAGACCACATTGCTTTCTAAAAGGGAGTACTTACCTCATTCTGCAAAAGTCACATCAACAATGCTTTTTCACTGGATCACGTCTTCTTTCTGCGATGTATTATGTACAGACAAGGGTTAATCCAAGTCTGACTATGCAAGAAGGCTGTTGAGTCATTTTATAATCACTAACATTAAACTAAGTCACACAACCCTTAAATCTTCCCATATTAAGCTTTTGTAAAGATATTACTAAAGAAGATCACTTAGGAGTTGCACTAATTTTATGTTTAGGAAATCCCCCCACACAAATTTTAAGTCTTCTACTGGTACAGTAGAAGACTGTACCAGTGGAGTTTACATTTTACAGGATTAGTGTCAGGCCAATAATCATTCTGAGTAACCACTTATTTGGAACACCGAGTGCAGACATAGCCCGTTTCTCTCTGCCACCTACTGACACAAGCACGACACTCGCAGTCGTGATGCAACGCCTCTAGGGGCAGGCCACAATGGAAAATAACATTTAAAGACAAAGGCGGACTACGGGATGCACAAACTGCATTTACTTGAGTTTCCACTACCACACTACCTCAAACCTTTCGTACCTGCTCATTTGTTGTACATGTCCCTGTATGGTTCTTTTGCAAGTTCCCTACGAAAGAAGGAATCAGAAAAGTTACACAATGGTCCTCATAACATTAAGCATGGCTGAGCACATTTTTCTATTCTTTAACGCAACACCCTTGGAAGTTGAAATCGTGCCGTCTTCAAATTTCCTTCTTGAAAACTGAATAGCACGCTCCAGTCATACTCATTTGCTGCCAAAATTTCAGATGCTATGTCCGATTGCAACCGTGCAATGAGAACTCCCTCCAGGACAGCTGTCCTTCACTCTCTCCTAACCAACTAAAGTCTAGATACGGACTGAAACATTTTTTCTTAACTGTTCTTGTAAGCCTCTCAATTAGTACAAAGGAGTGCCTAGTTCCAAATGAGCCTATCAGATCAGTTGCTTTCTCATACCTGGCACCTCCCTCCCTTTGAATGCCAATTATGCAATCATTTATTGCACAGATATTGTTTCCATTAACAGGTAGCAGTCTCACAATACCAACTCTCACTACCTCCCATCTTGACAGAGTTAGATTTGATAGTTTCCTTCGATATGGTTTTGCAAGATTATAATCTGTGAATTAAAGATTCTCACCCAAACTAAAATAAATATGGTAATGGCTAAAAAAACAAAGTGAAGGCGCCAAGTAAATCGTACATGCTCATGGCGAATATACTGCAATTTCTGAACCCAAGATAATGACACAGATGTGTCTATATAATAAAGGGTCGGCAATCACATCATATTTACAAAACACTCATTCTGTAGCACAGCTACTGTACATCTAGAGGTGCTTGTCACAAGAGACTTTCCAAGTGTATGCAGTACTTATGCACAGTTCAAAAATAGTGCTTGACTTAGGATTTCCACAAGTGGATTCCAGACAACACTGATTATGCCAAACATCTTAGACTCAATTTCCTGCATCACTTACAACACTAATTTTGTTTGGGACTCCCCCACCCAAATCTTATATCTTCTGCTGGGAGATAGCAGGGTTAACAGTTTAGGACATCAGTAATCTGTCCTGAAGGTTGCATGCAAGCTGCAATGTATGCAATTAACCCAACACCCTTGGTCAAAATCAAAAGGTACAAACTTACCCATAAAGGAAGCTGGATTAATCCTCTTGCCTCAACGGGAACTTTTTTACACAATTTCCTGCACAACCTAAAAGAAACGGATGACAGAATAACCACCAACGCATATTTTTACAAAACGACACATACCAGGGTATTAACCACACCTACCACCCAGCTGTTTCCAATACTGACCACAGAAAACAGTCTCTTACTCGGCAGATAACGATATATGCGGTCGCGACGCAGAGCCTTCTAAGGGCACTGCAGCACTTCCACCTCGGCGTTTGTTAATCGGAGCACATGGCGACGATCAATTCACATTAAGAACTGGTCCTTATTTTCCCCACTGGGTCACGACTGAAGTTCATAACTTGGCTTGTGTGAAATATCAGAAAATTAATTTAGTCCACAAGTTAAGCGTTGTTCTTTGTTGCCATAACTAGTAGTTATAACTAGTAGTTTTCATTTCCACAGCTCATGTTTTACTCTCTATTATTACCTTTTCCAAGACACATCCCAGAGTCTTGACTCCTATGGTCAGCTGCTGTGCTAAAGGTGTTATTTTTAGCTTAACGCAACAAAATAAACCTTATATGACAATTTGTTTCATGTGGTTGCAGCGCCTTCTGCTCAGCTTTCTTTGCTACTGCAACAGCTCTATAATGGAGTTTATAAAAGCTTACACGAGTCGATCAGAGAAGAACCGCTTGGAACTGCGTTAGTGGCGTACTCGCAACTACATAATTTAAATATTCCGTTAAAAAAATCCTTAATATTTTGTATTTCCAGGTTGCGTGTTAACTAAAGGAAATGAGGGGGTAAGTGACACTGGTTCAAACTGTAAGGAAATACAAAAGTCGAATGATTATGATGAATATCTTAATTGCAGAAGTTATTCGGAGATTCAGGTGGGAATCGTGCCACGTGGAATTTTCAATTATCATCAGCACTAGTAAATCGATGGACACGGCAGTACTAAACTTCAGTAAAAAAAAAAAACATGGCTACAACTTGTTGGCTCAAAACATCTAAAAAAAATCTTCAATGGAAAATTAACATTTATAACTACCCTAAAAAAAATTGTTAAAAAACTTCTACAGAAGGGGGGAAAACAAGAATCACCACTTACCCCAACATCTTTCCACTTCTCAGACGATGGAAAGAGAAAGACAACGCGCTCTTGGGCACTTTTTATATACAGTAGCCGAGTACGGAAGCCGTTGCAGGACTAAATACATTTTGACAGAGAGGACAAATATTCCTCGAAGCACCGCCCAATTTTCAACTAAGGTCAAGGGGGCTAGATATAAAGAATTCTGCACCGCCTTTATTGTATTAAAACGTCTTTCACTCTCTTATAAATAATAACATGGAGTAGTGAACAGGGATCCTGAATCCTGAATCCGGAATTGTGGGGTATGGTGCTGCTTTTGAAACCCTGAGCGAGGTACTACCTAAAACTGTTTCAGTAAATATCCTTCTACATATATGTAGGAACAACATATTGCCCCAGTTCGAACAGTCGTTTTTAGTAAAGCTATCTAACTGAAAGAGAATTATACCATGAGTGAAAACTTTTATCACTGCTTAAAACAATGGATGTTCTGTTCAAGAGAAGGATTAAACAAAATGCAAAATCACTTATCACAACTCAAAACCATTCTACATAAAATCTTGTGACATTTATTTGCTAAGTTTGTCTTTACCATTTGTTTAATAAACATTTTTCATTTAAACATTTCATGGTGCTCTGTGGCTAAGGATCTGCGCCTGGTTTCGGGTTCATATCCTTCGACTGGCAGAGGAATCCTACTCCGTTGGGCCCCTGAGCAAGGCCCTTAACCCCAACTGCTCCAGTGGTGCCATATAAATGGCTGGGTCAGCTGTGATCTGACCCTAAGCTTCTCTCCCTGTCTGTGTGTCTCATAGACAGCAAGCTGGGGTAAGCGAAAAGACAAATTCCTAATACAACAAATTGTATATGGCCAATAAAGTGATCTTATCTTATACAATTAAAATTGTTCTTCTGAGTACTCCCTGCACACTCTCGACAAAGACTAGGTAAAATTAAGTCATAGTAGTTCAGGTGGGTAGCTGCGTCAGCATGCGTAGGCTGCAAAGGAACAAGTAATAGGTTTATTCCATGCTGTAAAAAGAAGAGAGAAAACACAACGTTTCGGCCGTGGAGCCTTCTTCAGGTGTGAGAGAGACAAGGCAGTAGGCAAAGGTAAAGTAGTGGGAGAACAAAGGCTGGGAGGGAGGAGGAGTGAGAGGCGGGAGCAGGGGACAGAAAGAGAGGCCAATCAAGAGGTGTGAAGTCAGAATAGGTGTAGAGAGGTGTGAAATGAAATGAAAATTGAGAAAATTTTAAAGAAGAGTAGTCTGTGATTATGACAAGGGGGAATAATAATAATAATAATAATTGCTTACACTTATATAGCGCTTTTCTGGACACTACACTCAAAGCGCTTTACAGGTAATGGGGACTCCCCTCCACCACCACCAATGTGCAGCATCCACCTGGATGATGGGACGGCAGCCATAGTGCGCCAGAACGCTCACCACACATCAGCTATCAGTGGGAAGGAGAGCAGAGTAATGTAGCCAATTCATAGAAGGGGATTATTAGGAGGCCATGATTAGTAAGGGCCAATTGGAAATTTGGCCAGGACACCGGGGTTACACCCCTACTCTTTTCGAGAAGCGTCCTGGGATTTTTAATGACCACAGAGAGTCAGGACCTCGGTTTTACGTCTCATCCGAAGGACGGCGCCTGTTTACAGTATAGTGTCCCCGTCACTATACTGGGGCATTAGGACCCACATGGACCACAGGGTGAGCGCCCCCTGCTGGCCCCACTAACACCTCTTCCAGCAGCAACCTTAGTTTTTCCCAGGAGGTCTCCCATCCAGGTACTGACCAGGCTCACACCTGCTTAGCTTCAGTGGGTTGCCAGTTGTGAGTTGCAGGGTGATATGGCTGCTGGTGTGATCCTGCTGCAGGATAAGTTTGGTTTCAGTAGTCTTTCTGATGTATGAGTTGGGAAAACCGTCTTTGAGAATACAGACGGAGAGATTAGAGTGGTTGTGGCCGTCAGAGATGAAATGAGAAACAATAGGCTTGGAGAGATCTTTAATCTTCACAGCCCTGACATGTTCTCTGAAGCGTTCTCCGAGTCTCCTTCCTGTTTCTCCAATGTAGATGGCTGGGCATTTACTGCAAGAGATAAAGTAAATAAGGTTTCTGGAGGTACAAGATGCCCTCTGGGTGGTGCAGAATTGTCCTAAGGCCCTTTTATGAGTGTGGTGTTGGATGTTTAGTTGCAGGTGAAACAGCGAGCTCTGTTGCAAGGGAGAGTGCCTGGTGTGGATGGCTGCTGAGGGCAGTCAAGGGAGCTGTGAACAAGAAGGCTGCGCAGATTAGGTGCTCGGGGATATGAGATGATGGGGCAGTCAGAAAAGAGGGCCCCAATGGAGGGATCATCCTGTAGGATGGAAAAGTTGTCGTTAATTGTCCTGGGGATAGGAAGTGTGTTAGGGTGGTAGGGAAGCACCAAAGGAATGCGGTTGTTACGGCGGGAGTTCCTGATTGGGTTGATGGTCTGGGGGGTGTTTTTGGCTCGGGCAAGGGCCTTGTCAATAACACCGCTTGGGTATCCTCTGTTGATGAAAAAGGAGAACATTTTGAGGGCTTGGTTCTCGAAGTTGATGTCGTCCCTGCATAATTGTCGTAGCCAAAGGAACTGTGAAAAAAAGAGAGTTTTTAGTGTGTTTGGGGTGAAATTAGCTATACAAGAGATAGCTGTGTGAATCTGTGGGTTTGTAATAAACCGAAGTGGAGAGTCGGGGGTAGTTGATGGAGAACGTGATGTCCAGAAACGGAAGAGCAGTGGAAGATATGTTAACCCTATATTTGAGGGATGGGTGGAAGTTGGTGAAATGGTGCAGGAAGCACTCAAGCTGATCGTTGGAGCATGTGGCGGCACCGACGCAGTCATCAATATATCGCTTATAGTGTAAGTCATGACATTTTATGATGTCTCTGTAAAATGCCTCCCTGGGGCCAGAGTTTCTGACATTGAGGCAAAACTAGACAGTTTCCAGCATTGAAGTCTCCACCTTGGTTGTTCATGCTGGAACTAATGATATAAAGTACCAACAATCCGAGGTATTAAAGAGCAACTTCATTTCTGTGCACAAGAGCACAAAGAAAATGTCGGAATTTAATTGTGTCTGGTCCCTTACCAATCCTATACAGAGGGGACGTACCCTATAGTAGGCTATACTCCCTAAATCGTTGGTTAGAGACTGGGTGTGCATCCAATAGAATAACATTTATTAATAATTGGGATATTTTTTGGGAATGGCCTGACTTTTATAAACAGGATGATCTCCACCTTAACCAGGAGGAATTATTAATTCTATCCCAAAATACAGCAATTGTCTGCCTGACTACTAAGAGCACCAACCAGGTCTCAGCCATGTGATCTTAAATCACATGCTGTCTCTACTCCCACCTCTAGTTCACCTCCTGTACCTACCCAGGTTCTCTACCACATGGCACCCCATCAATCACATTACTATTCAGAACCAGATATGAGTATGAATAGACAGAGTATTGCAAGTATCACTAGACCTAGACTAGAATTCATACGTTCCTTTAGGGGCTCTTGCATTGATAATTTAATCTCTATTCCACTGGTAAACCTAAATCAGTTCAAACATAAAACCACCGTAAAATGCTCACTGTTAAATGTTCACTCACTAGGCAACAAATCAGTTCTGGTTAATGATATGGTGCTTGACACCAACTCTGACCTGTGCCTAGTAACAGAAACCTGGCTTAGACCCACTGACACTATTCCTTTTAGTTGAAGCCTCAGCTAATGGCTATACTTTTTTACAGAAAGCTCATTTCTCAGGGCATGGAGGTGGCCTAGCAGCCATCTTCAGTGAGTCTGATAATTGAATTAAAAACTATTGATGACTTTCACACATTTGAAGCACATTACATACATTCTTTTAGTGTACAGACCCCCAGGACCATATACCTTTTTTTTTTTGCCGAATTTGGTGAACTGCTCTCTTAGTTATTAATTTAAACAAAGTTGTTATATTAGGTGACTTTAACATACATATGGACATACAGCCAGACACCTTCACTAAATATTTCTGGTCTCTTCCTGACTCTGTAGGTTGTAGTCAGCATATAACAGGACCTACACACGTATAAAAGCATACACTAGACTCTTAATTATCACTCATAGAGCTGATGTTCATCATGTACTAGTCCATCTCATCAATAACTCTTCAATTACTTTTGAGATTTGACTGCTCTTGATAGCTGCCAAGTATGAGACTATTACAACACAACATATCAACGGAGGTACTTCATTAAATTTTATTAACACAATGAACAATGTTAACTTCATCTCCAATAATAATGTTGATGAAATCACACAACTATTCTAATGCAGTGGTCAGACAGGCTCTTGATGAAATTGCCCCGTTAAAGACTAAGGTAGTCAAAGCCACTAGTCACTCTCCATGGTATAATGATCACACACAATCCCTTAAACAGGAGTGCCGCAAACTAGAGTGCAAATGGAGGTCTACAAGTATTCAAGTCAGAATGGATAACAATATAAGAAAGACCTATATAGAGCTTGTTTGGTCTACTACTCTGAACTTATTGAAACCAATAAAATTAACCCTCGCTACCTATTTAAGACAATAGCTAATCTTACAAATAAGACCGATTCTATAGTTTTTGGTTCCTCTCCTCCATTGTCTTCTGGTCTTTTCTGTTCTGTATTCACATGTATGGTCACTTGCTTTGTTGAGTGCCTTGTTGCAACCTTGTTCTGAAAGGCACTATATAAATATTAATTGAATTATCAAAAAAGATTTCACAATATTAATGTACAGCCTTTCCATTGAAATTTAACCAGAGCTATTTTTAAAATTCAAATAGTTTTAAGCCATCAGATCCAGTCATACATCCACCTGAAAAGTTACATGTGGGGTACTAACCATGAGAAACAGATACTGTACTGTCATAAAGGTTCAAATATTTTTTATGGTACTTTGTTGCCTTTCACAGTCTTTACAACATTAGATGCAGCTCTTAAAGCTGCTGTTTTCCAAGTTTGAATAAATGGCAGACAATTTAGCTTTGTGGACCATTTATTGATTGCAGAACACCAGTTATGAAACCATGAACAGAAATACAAAAGTGAAGTATTCTGGATTCCTAAAGAAACTTTCTGAAAGGAACATTGCAAACAAAAAAAGAAAGAATATCACATTATTAAAAAACATACTTATATGCAGAAAGGGGGGACAATGTACATAGATGCAAAGGGCAATGCCAATGTCAATTGATACAATCTAAAAAACAATTCATAGATCATGGACTTTGATTACTCAGACTATGGAGGAGTTCCATTTGCCTCCTTTTGTCCTTGGCTCTGTTGATAGTCATTCTGAAGAGCTTGCAGTAAAGCTCTATACTTGCTGGCGTATCATCATTCCCAGGGACGGGGTATGTGATCAGACTGGGATTGCAGTTGGAGTCCACAATGCCCAATGTAGGGATGTTCATCTTGGCTGCATCACGGATGGCCACATGTTGCTGAAAGACATTGTTGAGTGTGCTGAGGAAAATAATGACGTCAGGCAGCCTCACACCCTTCCCATACTGGACTGGGGCATTAGTAAGGAGCCCCCCCTGCCAGTAACGGGTGTGAGCATACTCGCCACAGTCCCTTGCCATTTTCTCGATCAGGTGGCTGAACTGTCGGTTGCGGCTGATAAACAGAATCACCCCCCCACGATATGCCACATGCGCAGTGAAATTAAGTGCCTGCTGTAGGTGCTCCACTGTTTGGTCGAGATCAATGATGTCCTGCTCCAGACGACAGCCAAATAAATAAGGTTCCATCAGCCTGTGGAAAAAAAAACACAGGAAAGTGGTGAAGAACATTCTACACTGCAAAAAGATTTCAGTTTCTGACTTTCTCAAGAATATTATTTTAAATATAATGCAACTAAAAATGTTTTAAAATGATAAGTCTTTTTTTATAATTATTTCACAGAACCCATAACCTACACAAGTATTCCAAAAGTAATGGTACAGATACACAATTTTGAACATTAGTTTGATAATTGTTTGTCATTTTTTAAAGCAGCAAAGTTTGTTGACTGTCAGACTGTAACCCTTTTGCAGCAAAAACAGGATTGGTTTCAGTTTGTAGTTTAGATGGGCCAACTCTTGGATCCAGAAAAACTTGACATTTTAAGTGAAAAATAGAAACTAACAAGGAAAAGAGTACGCAACATGTTGCCTTGTCCAAGTAAATTAAGGATTGCTGTTAAACAAACACATGAAAGGCTAGAAGATAATCTTGTTTGACTTTCAATAAAGGTACAGTACAACCTCTCAGAAATATAAAACGGAATCACTGAGATATACCTGGAACCCCTGTAAATGTCAAAGTAAAGGTGACTTAAAATATATAAATCCAGCTAAGGCTACTCCTGAAGGATTCATTTTCATTACCTGTGTCTACAGCCTCTTTTGTGACCCAAGTGAACTCTGGCCTCAAAAAGATCCTTCAGAGAGAACAGCTCTGATACACGAAAGAAGTCAGGATGTTTCAGGGGCTCTGTTAATAATTTCTCATTTCCAGCTACAGAAAACACCAAAAAGGAGAAAAACAGACACTTTATGTAAGGCCAGTTTCAATAACTATTATTGATACCATTAATCTGGGTGTACAACATTTAATTATTTTAGCGATTATCTAATGACACCAGTTTTCATTTTTTCAGCATGTAAACATTATAGTTCTAAATTTATATATGTTTTTTTTTTCCATAAAAAGGATCATATATTGTACTCTGTGTCGAGGGAATCGTAACAACAAGCGCTGAGAAATCGGCTTACCTGAACTGTCAGCATGAGTCTGGTGAATCTGCAGAGCTGCAGTACCATATAGACGACCTAAGATACCCGATGACCCAGGCGCCACCCCACCCGCTAGGCCGGGACTCCCGAGCCTGGGAAAAGCTGAAAGACAAAAAACAGTTTCAATCATCAGTTCTTATTCTAATTCATACTTACATAAAGTAAGCTTAAATGTTTGTATGAAACACATATTGTGTGTGCCCAGTTACTGTGCTTTGCGTTAAATATATTACAATTTACAATAACGCTTTGTTATTTCATATTCGTACAAAACTTAATTGATCAACAGAATATGGTTTAGTGTTCAAGGTTACAAGATGTAATACATTGCTCAAGGGAAAGGTTCGGATTTACACTTACATGCCCTACAATGAAGTCACATTACAACTACGTCGTACTGCGACGCTAAAAAGTATATTATCATATCCTTTAAACACATTTAAGTACACACCTGAAAAAACGTCTATTTTTATGTGTTTGAAAGAGGATTACAATTTGAACATTGTCGTTGCTACAAATGAACACCAATAAAACTCACCTTTTCTCAGTAAACCTGCAGCCATGCCTACTTATTCCTCCTTGTAGAGGTCAGAGGGTATTTTCAAAAAACTTTATTAAAATCAAGTGATTTTTTTTAAGTCCAGCGTCTCCAGAGTTATACTGTCCTCTACTGGTGTGGCTATGAATAGCCATCTCTATAAACTCAGCAGTTGCAAAAATGTGATCACCGTTTGAGCATCGTATACCATATACATAGGAACAAGTAATAGGTTTATTCCATGCTGAAAAAAAGAAGAAAGAAAACACAACGTTTCGGCCGTGGAGCCTTTTTCAGGTTGCTCACATCTGAAAAAGGCTCCACGGCCGAAACGTTGTGTTTTGTCTTCTTTTTTTCAGCATGGAATAAACCTACTTGTTCCTTTGCAGCCTACGCATGCTGACGCAGCTACCCACCTGAACTACCATATATATCAATTAACACGCGCCTTAGTGCCCCTGTCTTCTTAGTAATATGATAAATATGTTTCCTTGTTAATTGTGTATCGTAGATACAAGAATGTTATAACGACACTTCCTTCTCATTAAAAATAGGTTGTTAATACGCACATCATCACATCATTGTATTTTATTATATTTGTGTTGTATGACGATAGAGATCAGCTAATTCTTAACGTCATCCGTTGAACGGTTTTATATACTTACTGACAGCTAACACTAAAGGTGATATATGTCATAATAGTTGCCAGTTTCTCGAGGATTCACGGAGTGCTTTAGATTAAATACCTTTATTAAGGTAATCCTTCTAAGGATTTGGCGCACTTAAAATTACCAGCGAGGGTCTATATTAATATTTTTGTTTTGCACTATGCTACCTTGCTAAGGAAATGAATGAATCCTGCTTTGCAATTAACATGGTATTGACGACTCCTCTATCAAGTTTTATCTCTCGGGTTCAAACAGTGTGGACAATCTTGTGGCGATCCATTGAATGTATCACTTACCAATTATCCTACGTTACCAGGTTACTGTGTCTTAGCAACCGATTGTTTGTCAAGGAGAACTTGAACTGCATATTTCCTGGTGGACGAAGGCTCCCACAACTTTCCATCGTTTGTTATCACTGAGCAAAACATGGAAAATGCAACACACACAGTGGAAGAAGCTAACAGAGTCTCCATCAAAACGAGCGATGTGTACAAAGTGCAAAAAAATCTGCCGAAAAGATTTGATAACCCCGACTGGTTCCAAGGGTACAGGTGAGCCCGTGTTCTTGATACTTACATTTTTAAATAGTGTAATTTAAATGCTTGTACTTAGCTAATAAAGTGAAAAGTAAGAGTTTTAAAGCACTCATTTATAGTTTCCATACTGTAACAATCCATTTCAGAGAGAAGCCACGTAACCCGCTATACAGGACAACGAATCAAATTTACGGGGGCAAGAGACCCACTGTACATGAAATGCCAGTAAGTTGAAAGTTACCGTCCTTTATCAATCTGATTGTCAGACATATATTTATTAAAGTATTCAGCATTGCTTTTACTATTCAAATAATGTTTTGTCTGAAGAAGCACCGTTTAATTCAGAGTAACCTTATTTCAGAAGCATGACTAGTATAAAGACATACACAGTACTTCTCTGTTCTGGTAAGCTGTAGATTGGTATCTGGCAAAGGTCTCGACTGATCAATTATCATATTTCACCTGGTGTAAGAGATTCAAAAATAGTTTATTATTATGGTCTACTATGAGATTTAATCAACAGCAAACTTGGCACAGTTTGGTGAGGTTATCTAATACATGGATATTAAACAGATAATAAACAGAATGAATGCAAAAATGAGATTTCAGTTGATCTTCATATAGGCAGGCCTGCTCCTTAAAATGTAGATTTAAACATTTGAATGTTTGCTATAAACTATTCGTGCCAGAAATAACATTTAGCATAATGTACCAATTTTATATAAAATAGAACCCTGCATTTTATTTTATCTCTAAATGAACCAGGTAAGTAAATTAAGAATAAATTCTGATTGGCAATGACCATCTGAAGACCCATGTAAACAGCTGGGCACTTAGCATTTTTAATGAAAAACTTTGCTCGAGCATACAAATATTTTAAAAAATTAGAACAGCAGGCACAAACTCTTTTACAAAAAGGAATCTGAAACAAGTTAATCAGCCATGTTTCTGGAGTCAGTAGTCTAGCTTCCTTTCAGAAATGGTTGAATGAGATACATGGACCAATAAGATACTAGTAACCAAACAAGCTTGACGAGCTGAATAATATCCTCTTATTTATAGCCATTTTCATGTTCTTATAGCAGCATCCTACCCATGGTTGGAATTTGTGACAATTCCCACTCGAGATTCCTAAACAATACCCTGTATTTCCAGATAACAATAAGCTTTTTCAATACACTTTCAAAATTTAACCCTGAGTTAAATATGGTAATGTGTGTTAAGTTTATATTTGAAATTTACATCTAAGAAACCTCTCTTTCTTTTTCCTAATAGACCACTTTTAATGGGAGTACTCGGCAGTTTACAGAATACCTAAGTAAATGTGGAATGTACAAAGACAATGGCTTCAACACATCAACTGAGAAAAGTTATGTGACTGGACCTAACAACCTCATTACATTTCATGACAGACTGAATTTTCAAACTTCCTATAATATGAATGGACCTTCTCACACTGGGTAATTCATTCAAAACTGCTAGTAACACAATTAAACATTTATTCAGTGATATTACTGACCTTCTCAGATTTCAGTCATATAATGGGTATTCAATGCAATGTTTTAAAATAATTTTTGTTTCCCTTTTAATTTAGTTCCAATGGAAATGTCATGTGCTAATAAAAAGTCTCACATGCTGAAATAAAATATCCTTTATTTTATATTACATAAAATTGATGGTAAACATTGGAACAGTTCTGTAAAAACACTTGGAAGGCAATTACTGTGAATTGTAGATCTAAGAAACAACATCTGTATCTGTTTACAGAGACATCACAACATTCTACAAATAAGTTCCTCTAAACTTATTTTTGTTAATAGCAAGTTAGAACAGATGGTTTTGAAAAACATCTTGAAATTGTTTGTCACAGCAAATTTTAAATTGCAGTCTTATCAAAAACACAATAATAAATACAAATGTTAAATATGAAAAAAGTAAACCAGAACTCACAATTTTAGTTAAAGGTATCACAGCAATTAAGGCAGAAGTAATTAACATGACTCCAAAACCCTTTGAAAATATATATGATATCCCTTAATTATGCTATTTTGTCATATGCTGCAGTTTGCAGTTTTTGGTAGGATTTCAGAAAACAGTTATTTCAAGTACAATAGAAACCCAAGCAACTGTTGGGGACTATTAAATTCTCTAATGGAATCTGAGATTACAAATACAAAAAACCTTTGAAGATGAGGAGCAAGTTCAACTTCATATTCAAAATATAAACAATGTTTATATATTTTTTTCTAAGTAAACAGGTGTTTTTCAACTTTTTAAATGAAAATGCCTGGGAGGAGTAAACTTGGATATGTAAACTGGAATTCTTTGCCTTTTGTTTTTTATGTGCTGACTGATTCAAGATTTTAGTCATATCTGGACAATTACCCTACCAGGGACAGAATACCTTACACAATTGAAGAATTTGTTGTTAATTTTTTGTTCTTTAGATGTGATGCTAGTTGGTTTAGAAGATTCTATAGGTAATGGAACAGACCAGTTAGGAGTTTTGATATTTCTTTTTCTAACAAACTAATAGTGCTAATATTTTTCCTTTTTATTAAGATCCATCTTTTATTTTATCCAGGTATATTAATTGTATCCTCCATGTTCAGCACAACAATTGCTGTTATTTATTAAAACCAGTTTCATTAAAACAATCAAAATGATGTGTGGTTGATTAATGCTAAACAAAATCTATAACATTCTTCCTTCCCCAGTGTGCTTCTCCTAAAAAACAATTTAGAAACAATCAACATCGCAGTTAACACAGAGTCTGATGAATGTTCATATAAATGTAAAAATGTAGCATGAAAAAGCAAATTATAAGCCTATGGTGATAGACCTATGTGGTCTAACAGTCTGACTGTAAAACATTAATTGGCATATACTAATTTCTTTATTGACAGCTGCATATTTTTGTAATGTATTATTCAGAATTCTGTTATTATAAAAGTTGTGTCTTCCTAAGGTACAGTAACAATAGTATTTGAATGTTTCTATAACTTTAATATTTACTCTACATGACAAAAGTTTTAGGATTACAAATAGTTGCACTATTGAAACTCATCAGATTTCAACAAAAACCAGCTTGTACCTAACCAGTTCCCATAATAAATGTAATGCCCACATTGGATCAAAATGCAAACTATTACTGTTCGAATACCGTTAAGACATTTAACTCCAAATTTGGCTCATATGATTTTAATCCAGACATGAAATCATCAAAATGGGATTCCTGTGTAAACCCAGATTGATACAGTACATGTCCAGTATTTAATTTCTTTTGGTTTCAATACATCTCCAATGGTTAAGACTATACCATTAACCTAACTCTCAATACTTGGTATATAGTGTATGGCTTCTGCTTAAACACGGTGCATTCTAAACATTTAAACAAACTGGTTGAAGTATTATTGAATAACAAAACTAGCAAGTTACCAAATCCCAGGCACTTGCTAATTAACATAATAATATTGCTGTTTCACATCTACACCTCATTTACAAACATCTTCCATTCAATAGAAACCCATGTGCAGCTTTGCCTTACTACATTGTTTGATAACTGATGTTTGTTAGTGCTTCATGTGTTTTTGGACACTGTACTAACCCCCCTTTCCATAACTACCTTATTAGGGTCTTGCAATCTTATACTAATTCCCCTTAGTTATACTTGTTCTATCGAGGCAGTTCTTTACCTTGTGATTCGGGTTAAACTGAAATCTCCTTTTAGTGTTTTTCTTCTTTTTCTGCAAGATATCCCATAAAACAGGTGACAACTGTTGTATATAAAACTGTGACCTTATAGGAATCATTCAGCCTCCTCAGATTAATTACTTTTAATGTAATTTATAATATTTTAGTTATTGTGAAAGGCTGATTTTCAATGAAATTACACAATGAACTTTTGTGATGTGATACTTAAAGTACACAAATATTTTTAAGTCTTTACTGACCTCTATAGGTTATTAAATTGAAACATCGCAGCATTAAAAACAGCTCTTCAAAAAACAACCCTTCTATATACTGTAGCAGTTAACAGTTTTTAAACAGAAATGTGTCAGTTTACAATATATACTTACAACGTATTTGTCATTAGTTTTAATATCTGTATAAAGTAAAATTACTGCATTAAACACCAGTGTAGTCTAATTTTGTAAGGGTTCAATAAATGTCCTTGGTATGAGCTACAGTAGATGCATATTTCTCACTATAAGTCTTACTTAATTTCAGTTCTCAGGCGATACTAAATTGATTAGTTTTACACTTAACACCCATTCTATAGAAACCTAATGTAACTGTTACATTGCCTCACTTCTGTATTTTATAAGTAACTGAAAACCTTACTGCAACATTGCTTTACTATAGTATTTCATGGACAATGAAACCTGCTTAAAGCTCTCAAACCTGCTTGCAATTACAGTTGAGCATCTGATATTTTCAGGTACACAGAACTACTATGACACAGTAGCTCTGATTCAGTATGACAGATTTTTGTTTTTCTCTGAGTTATTGTACTAGTAATTTCCTAGGTAAAAACATTTGTTATTTTGCTCACCCTTTTTGTAAATTTACAGAATGTGTACTTTAAACAAGGTCCTTTAATGCTATACTATTTCTCCTTAGTTATTCTGGCTCTCCCAGGGCCATTCTTTACCTTGAGAATTGGGTGAAAGTGTAATTTCCTTTTGATATTCTTTTTCTTCTTCTTCTACAAGAAAACCCATAAAACATGTGATTATTATCTCACTTAAAAACTGTGAACACTCCCGATATAAATCGCTCAGTCTTTTCAGGTTCATTTGTAATGTAATAATAATAATAATAATAATAATAATAATAATAATAATAATAATAATAATTGCTTACACTTATATAGAGCTTTTCTGGACACTTCACTTTACAGGTAATGGGGACTCCCCTCCACCACCACCAATGTGCAGCATCCACCTGGATGGTGCAACGGCAGCCATAGTGTGCCAGAACGCTCACCATACATCAGCTATCAGTGGGGAGAAGAGCAGAGTAATGAAGCCAATTCATAGATGGGGATTATTAGGAGGCCATGATTGGTAAGGACCAATGGGAAATTTGGCCAGAACGCCGGGGTTACACCTCTACTCTTTACAAGAAACACCCTGGGATTTTCAATCAGTCAGGACCTTGGTTTTACGTCTCATCCGAAGGACAGCGCCTGTTTACAGTACAGCGCCTGTTTACAGTATAGTGTCCCCATCACTATACTGGGGCATTAGGATCCACACAGACTGCAGGGTGAACGCCCCCTGCTGGCACCACTAACACCTCTTCCAGCAGCAACCTTAGATTTTCCCAGGAGGTCTCCTTATCCAGGTACTGACCAGGCTCACACCTGCTTAGCTTCAGTGGGTTGCCAGTTGTGAGTTGCAGGGTGATATGACTGCTGGCTAATATGTAATTTATAATCTTTAAATTAGTGTGATGGACAGACTTTTGATTAAATGAGACAATGAATTATGTCATGTGACAAATAAGGCAGACATTTCATATTGTTATCTTTCTGTTTAAATCTATGAGTTTATATATTATTTGTATATATGTGTCTCAGTACATCAGTAGACAGTTGTCTACAAACTGTCCTCTACCCAAATATTTAAGTTTAATAAACAACAGTGTTTCATTTTCTGAGAAGATAATAAACTGACGTGAATAGAAAGATTTTAGGAAACCTATTTATGTTTCCTAGGAATGACAGTAAGGGACAGCAATAATATTTCACAATATAGTAACAAAACCATCTCCCATTAATTGTACTACATATAATTATACATAATCTAACCTTTTTGTGCTTTACATTCCAGTGTCTGTTCTTCTTTTTATAGAACATCCCAACATCAATTGAGAGCTTGTTCTGGATGATATTTTGCACATTTCTGGTTTTCTCTATCTTCTCTATCTATGAAAAGAAAAATACAATACATATGACACAAACAAAATTGAGCTTTATGGCAGCTAGCAAAATAGAATACAAAACTTTCCTAATCAAATCTGGAAATGAACTACAGTTCTATTCATTTAAAAAAACAGTATTCCATTTCCTACAATTTTTTATATCTGATTCCTGGTGCCAGTCTATTACCAGGTACAAACAATGGTGTATAGTATTTATTTTATACTATCTTATAATCCTAACAATAATTTTCCATTGTTTTCGCTTCACATTGAACAAATTAAAACCTCACTAATCAATGAGAATTACTACAATAGTAGAAAATGAGGGATAAGTACATGGTCTAACTATATAAAGACCAACTTTACTGAATGGTATATGAAACACTTTTGCAACTGCTTACAATAATTGTTTTGCTGCCTTTAATATAGCCACAAAATTCAACTCAATGGAAAACAGAAAATACATTCATATTCAGCATACCAGTACAACTGAGGATATCTGTCTTCATTTTCAAAAATATTAATTCACTGGTTGGTATTATTATGCAATTAACTTTATCTTGAAATACTTAAATTTGACCTTGAAATACATGACATGCACATGCCTCCAGCTTGTTGCCTTAGGGTCTTATTGTTAAAACAATGACAGTACCTGACAGGTTTGGCTCAATATCTGCCTCCTAGGAACAGAATATTTCTGAAGTCTTTCAGCTGAATTCAAAACAATGTACGGAGTTATCATCAATCCTGGATCAATGGAAGATGACAGCAACCTGGACAAACAGAGACAGACCAGCCATAAAAGATGTCAGGCTGAAATATGCTGAAATGGGGAGCTGAAATATGCAAATGAAAGGACCTTTAAAATGATTTAGATTATTTTCAGTAAACATTTCTAGTTTTAATTTCTTTAAATATCTTCCATTTATCTTGGACCACTGTAGGATACTTTTCTGTGCAAAAGGTATAGAAGTGACAGACAACATTTTTTGAAAACAGTAAATATTTGAGTTCTGTCAGAATATCAATGAGCGGTACTACAGAAGGTTCCACTTTCACATAGTAGTTGGGAATATTGAGGAGACCATGGCCCAACATAACTAAGCAACCTGTGTAGAGAAAAACTACATTTTAAGGATGGAGGAAGGAACAGCATTTTAAGGATGCTGAACATAACTTCTTCTACTGCAAGTCTTCAAAAAGAAGATTGCAACAAACAGATCTATATTATTACAATTTCAACCACAAACTTGGGGAGTATAATTTTCCCATTTAAAATGTTTTTATTTTATAAAGACTTAAAAAATTAAACATGTGCAAAAATAATATGAATAAGTAAGTGAATATTTTTTCTGCCTTTGTATACAGAGAGCATAGATTATTTAAATGTATTTTTTGTTAAGGAATCTAAACTTAATTTTGTATATTGCACAGTCTACAATTGTTCTGTTTCCCACAGGGAGTCAAAGACTCAATATATAATAAAAAAGATTACATTCTGAAAATATCTTTGCTTCCTCAAATTGGATTTTATGTTCTAGTAGGACTAATTTGATATTTTCCAAGAGTAAAAGTGCTTATTTACATGTTTTTCTGTCAAATTCACTAACATTAGTCTAATATCCTAACCTGATGTTATTGTTGGAAGAAACTAATACCAGGATGTAAAAATAAGCAGCAGGTGTACTTCAGTAAAATCAAGTTTAAAAGAAAATAAATCACCATAATCTAATATTTCCACTAAGCCTGATGGATTGACTCTCAACTTCCTTATGAGCACAAATCCCAGCGACATTAAGATTTCAGTTTCTGAACCATGTACCATGAAGAAGATTTGTAATTTACCTGAATTAACTTGATATTTTGAATGCCCACAGTTTAACCATCCAAATCCTCCACAGAGCAAATAAACAAAGACAAATCAAGTTTACTCAGGCAGATCTTGACTTGATCTTCATTTTGATATAAGCGTTTCTTGTTCATGTAAAACCTTAAGGTGTTTATATTGGAATAATGTCAACGGCTTTTTTAAATCAGGATTTTGGTTCAATTAAATAAAACGTTTAGAAATCAGATACTTTCCTATTATTTTGTGTGAGAGCAGGATGCTACCATACATTTCTGGGGGTTGGGTCTCAGAGATGTTAAATACAAACACACTTTTTTGCCCTTTGAGATAAAAAGTCACAGATGTGTTTTATTTGAAATACACTCTTTATTACACAGTTGCACTTTAAATGTACAGTTAAACATTCTCTCCTTCTCATACAGGAAAAAGGGAGAAGCATCATTTTTTGCAAAATATTTATGAAAACTGGCAATGCACAGCAAAGTCAGTAAAGTCTTTTTATAAACAAAAATAAATAACATTCTTTTCACATTAGAAATTCAAGGAAACTTTGCCAAAGACATCACACAAGCCCCCCCAAAAAAGTTAAAAGGGAAACTGAGGAAAGTGGTGTCAAAAAACCAAGTGTGCCAAAAGGGATTGACCTAACTGCTTACAGAAGCTGTGTCCCTAGAATGGAAATTTCATTATTTGATCACAGGGCAGGAAAAGACAATATGGAGAAAACAAAAGAGCAACTTTCTGCTACTTATAAATATACTTTTAAAATGTTCATTTCTGACAGGGAGACAAGAGTAAGATTAATGACAAAACACAGTCAAAATAATTACTAGCCAACTAAAGCAAAGTCTGCTTTTTTCTGAAATAGTAGAACAATGTGCTGTCAAAGGGCTTCCTACCTGAAAGTGGACTGCACCAGCCATTATAGTGAGCACAAACTGCATGGTTTGTTTCTCATGACACAACACATGTGCTGTGCACTAGGGATGCTATAAGTGTGACTTTCACTGCATTCATTGGTACAAAGTCAGACGAAGAAGGACCATACAACTTAAACTTTGCAGACAAAAGAAAATACTTTCTGCTTCAATAACACAGGGCAACAAATAGCCCCCTTACCTGCATAGGTCTATAATATGAGCAGTGGGTTCTTATTAAATTGTATGGAAAAACATATAATTGGTATCTTCCATATTATTCTGACTCCACACTGCCAAATTTCTGCAATGACAATTTACTCTTTTAAAAAATCCAAGTGAAATATCCAGCATCTGGTATTGACTAAAATAAGATTCTGCAGTTCACAATTCTGAAATTAATAAAGATGCCATACAATGATAGCTTTACTACCTTTCTTAGGCATATAACAGGAAGAGAGAGTTTAAAAAGTAATTTAAGTCCTGAAATACAAGGGCAATGAAGACAAGAGTGTTACATGTTTGTATGTTTTAGAAAGACATTCATAAACATAAATATTAATTTTTCAAACACTTTTTTCCAATGTCCAATCAATGTGCAGCTGTTAAGTTCTCAAATGGAAGCCAAAGTTAATTTTCACAGTTTTAATATTTTGCTCAATACATAGTAAATATTTTAGATGACTTCTTCTCATCATTCTAAACCATTTAAATAGCACAGAGTGTAAATTTGTCTTGACCTGGTTTTGAAATCAAGTGGCATCCTGTCTAGGGTCTGGCCCTGCTATGTGCCCACTGCTTCCAGAACAGACACTGGGTTGACCAAGAGGTTAAGGTTTTCTAATGAATGGTTCTGAGATCTTGGAGCAACAAAAAAGGAAATGTATGTTTTTATTTTAATCAATGCAGTAAAGGTTATCAACTAAAAAAGAATATTACAACTGATTTAGGGGCCAAAAGCAAAACAGTATGAGCTCCCATCTTTAATAACATCAAAAGCCAGGTTCACTAAATGTAGACAGGAATCTTCCCCCTTAAATTGATCTATTTAAACAAAGAGTGTTAATCTGTCCATATCCAGAAAGCAAAGGATGCTATCCATAATTTCCTTCCCTGTAAACTAGTCCTAAACTTTGATGAAAGGGTTCAATAAAATCAATTTTTTTCAGGTTACAAAACAAAAGCAGGTTGTTTCATGATGACAGGAAAACAGTTTGAGCATCATATTTATGTATTAATAATGAACAATTCAAGCCAAATCTTTAACAGATATTAACAGCTTTATGCCTTTATGCCTAGATGTGCAACGATCAAACATGAGCTCCCACTTATCTTAAGGTGCCTATATTATTAACAAACAGCTCTGTCTACAATGGTGAGTCTTTTTTATTTTCTTTCAGTTTTAAAAACCAAACATGCTATAGGTTTTTGAGCAACATATCATGATTTTTGGAAGTCAGTTTCCGTGTTAAGGCTCTTAAATAAGAATGAGACCGATTCCCTAATGAAATCTCTTTAATCCCTGATATGCACATGGCATCATTTATGTTGCCTTTTCAGTGATCACTTTTTTAAAATAAGACATTTAATTATTCTCCTTAAAGAACTTACAACTAAGCAGTGTTTTGTCTTGGTTTTCTTCACATGAATCATTTTCTGTTGATCATGTACATTGGAATTGAGACAGCTAGTTCCTTAGGAAAACATTTTTAATTAAACTCTGTTGATACCCCTTGTAAATGGAGGCTTAAATGTAAGAACTAAACAATGCTTATGAAAAATGCAAATTGGTTCATGGTCCCTCCATAACTTCAAAAAACATATGATTGGTGATATCAAATAAGGAACATGATTACCACAAAAAAGACATTTATAAATCACTCAACACAGTTTCATAGAAATATTAAAAAAGATTAATGGACAACAGCCACATCTCCAGACTGAGATGTATTAGTTTCTGTATACATTTACAAATTAAGTATTTCAATAAAAAATCTAAGCAACTAGTTTACAGTATCTTAAAATCACCAAATAATGTGTGCCCAGTTTAGGTTCAAATAGGGTGACCACATTTTAATTTATATACCACACCTTCATAAAATTATTGAATTATGTGTTCTTCATAAGAATGGAGAAGTAGATTAATGACAATGATCTTTTGTAAAAGGGATTAAGCAATGTGAAAAGGTTTTAAGCACTGCTGTAGAGTTTATCCCCGAAAGTATGACAAAAATAAAACTGCAACACTACTGCACACAAATGCAAACTGTTTGCATTTCACTGTTGATCAAAAGTTGAATTACTTAGTGCAAAAGCAATCTTTCTCTTTCGATGAATAAATGCTAAATCAAATTATCCACGTATTCATTCCATGTATTAATTTACCCCCATTCATCTTCATTTAACCACTCCAGCACTGTGCTATAGTACTTAGATTTACAGCACCACATTCATATTCAGTCAGATGTAGCCCAGGTCAGAGCAGCACAAGCCAGACTGGTACTTTGAAAATGATTAATTTAATGAAAATACTGCAGGGTCTTTAATTCAGTGAAAAAAACCCGGGATGTCTGAAATCAGATATTACAAATCCCAATATTTTAAATAAAGATAAACATTAACAAGGTGCTAATTATTTAATCTGGTGGAGATGCATAACTAACAGCAAAAATGGAAGTTCAGGAAGCCTACTGATCAATTACTTCCTCTGCTGAAAAAAAGAAATAAAAACAATACATAACATAGTGAGAAAGACTTTTCTTCAATAAACGTTTTATACAAATACGACAAGATGAAAAAAACAACTTTTTTCCTTCAGTCTCAGTTTCTTAATGACATTGCTCTGTGTTTTAAATAGTTTAAAAAAATGTACAACAAGAAAGCAAACTAAAATGTAATCTTCTATAAAACAGACTCACAAACTAAGCTGAGTTTCCTAGCTATCTAGGCATGAAACTAATGGAATTTACATTTCAGAGGAAGGCTTACTCAATGGCTAACCACTGCATAAAGACCTAAAATAATAAAGCATGTTAAATTAAAACAAATTTTCTATACTCACAAACGAGGCTGATCCTCACTTATATCTGACCTTTTACTGGCACTTCTTTCCTCATCTGAACTAAGGAAAGTCTCTTCTAAGTCGTCATCTTTCTTATCACCTGTGGTCTGTTCTTTGATCTCAAACTTTTTATTTTCTTCTCCCCTTTTTTTCCTGAGTTCAGCTCCTTCCTGATCAAATCCTTTATCTCCAGCCTGAACACTGCAGCCCTGACTTATGGACCTCCCAGTGTCTATGCTTCGGTCTTTATTGTTATGACCATTGTCTTGTGAAAAAGAAAATGGCAAACTGGCACAGCTGGGCTCCCTCACATGTTCATATGTACAGGCTTCACCTAGCTGCCTAACCATTCCTGGGAATCTCAAATTTCCCCCACTGGAGTGCTCTGCAGAGCTGTTAGAAGAGTTTACAAATTTTACTTCCAGGGCAGTGTGTGCATTTTCTTTGCTTTCATGTCCTGACAAGAAACGCACAGTGTTACAAGCATCTTCTGTAGCGTCATAAGTCTTTGTTTCACTCAGCTGCCTTGCCTGTCTTTGTTGACCAAAACAAGAGGAATTAGAATTGTCTGATGCATTCAGTGGTTGAATCCTCTTGATGATATTAGTAGTGAATGCTTTGATCTGGAATGGTTTTTTACTCTCCGATTTAAGTGCCTCTTGGCCTGCTTGTGAAGTGGAGTTCTTATGTGCATGTTTGGATATTGTTTTTGCACTTAAGATCACTGATGTGGTGAGGAAGTCAGCTCTATTTGCTTCACACTCAGCTGTGCAGGGATGAAACCTGTTTTGCTCACTGCATGATTTCTTTCCTTCATGCATTTGCTTGGTTTCTGCAACATTATCTGCCTGGTGATTCAAAAAAAAACTATTAAACACAGTTTTTGGAGATTGTGGTCCCTTATCCACAGTCTGTATAACACATCCCTGGAAACCTAAAGTGCTGTTCTGGCCATCTTCATTTGTTCTGCACGCCTGTTGGTTTTGTCCACTGCAATGTAAGAGACTCACACGTTTGGGTTCTCTGTTAGCTGAAAACTCAGCCTGCTGAGGCTCCAGCTTTGGTTCCCTAACTGACACAGAAATGCAGGTACTGGTACTGAGCTCCTTGGTTTCATTTTTAACCTCTTCCTCTCTTGATCTCACTACAGAAACTTTGGCCTTTTCAGCCAAAAATCTCCTGATCTCTTGCTCAATGCTGTCATCACTGTCCACTGAACTGCTGTCTTCAACAATCTCAGCTGCTACCTTTCCTTTCCTGTCAGATGTTTTTTCAAAAGCCCTGTGTCCTTTTGCTGCATCGCTCTGCTCTGCTTGACTGGAAGCTTTCTGCTTCTTTGCACTGTTAAGATGCTTCGAAGTATTTCTTTTCAGTTTTGATTTTACATTTTTATCAGCTGTATGGTGTGCAGGCATTATCCTGCTTCTTTTTGCTATGCCACTTTTAGTCCTGTGGTTGGCACCAGCTGACTCCTGTAACAAGGTGTTTTTCTTCTTCTCTGTTTCTGGAAGGTCCAAAGAGCACAGTTGAACTGCTCCAAAGTGAACAGTTTTCTTAGACTTCAACTTCAAGTCTCTCATCTTCCTTTTCACCTTCCTCTTTGTTTTAAGCAAATCTTTTGTAGCTGCATCTAGGTCCTCGTCACTATCTAAGGAGCTGCTCTTGTCACCAACTTGTAATTTTCCTTCTATCCAGTATGAAGCCTTGGATACTTCATTTTTTGTCTGGCACGAATGCAAGGAGTTTCCTTCATGGTTTTCAGAATCTTTGGCATCCTTCTGGTTAACAGGGTAAGATTTTTGATCTTCATTATTCACACCAACTTCTTCACTTAAAGGCACAGCAGATTTTTCACAAACCTCTCCAGCCCTGCTAATTGCCAGTGGCATAGCACTGTCATTTCTAACACACAACTTCACAGGAACTTGAGGCAGATCTTCTTTCAACCTATGGTCACTATGCACATCTTTACACAAATTTAGCTCTTCTTCCTTTTGTCTTCTTTTATGTGTCAGGGAGAGCCTATGCTTCATGGTCTGGGAAGAGTCAAGTTTTTTCTTCTGCTGTGGTGCCATGCTACTTTCCTTTTGTGTAAGGATGCCAGTATCAGGTTCTTGTCTGTTCATTTGTGCCTTCATTTCCAGGAATTTACGGATCTCCTGTTCAATGCCATCATCACTGTCCACTGAGCTGTTATTACTATTCTCTGAGGAATAAGGCATATTCTCCTGGGGTAGAGAAGTGGGGTTGACACAGGGATCTGTGAATTTAATGACATGGTCAAAGTTTGGTGGCATGACGGCTTTAGAAATATCTAAAATGGCTTCTGCACACATTAGTTCTGCAGTTGTATTCACTGTCAGAGGACCTCTGACATTTGGATCTGGATCGTTTCCTGATGTTGAAGCAACATCATTTCCTTTGATTTCATGACTGCCCAGTTTGTTTAAACTGCTAGGTACAAGCAAAGTAGTTTGTTTCTCTTGTTTCTTCTTTTTCTTACTTAATCCCTTCTGGATTTTAACTATCTGAATATCTGCAACAGAAGAGGGCTCCAAACTTACATGGGGCTGTTTGGTTTCTGAGGGTCTTGAGAATTTCAAGGAGTTCTCACATTTCTCTTTTTGCTTCTCCAGCTGATAGCGCAGAATGGCCTCCTCAATCCCATCATCACTGCTGGAGTCAGTTTCATTTTCCTCCTTCACAGAAGAACGATGATGCTGGGGTCTGGGTTGATTTGGACAGAAGCCAACACATTCTTTCTTAATTTGGAAGAGAGCAGGATTTTTGGACACAAATGGTTTGCTGACAGTTGCTTTTTTAAGATTACTGCCTGGAGATTTCTCCCTTCTTCTGCATTTGTCTGTGGACATTGACTGACTGGATTTTACAATTTGTTGCAAATGATTGCTTGCAGTTAAAACTTTATTGCCATTAGTCTTTTTTTCTGAGTCAAAACTAGGAGCATCTTTTCGAATCTGCTTTGAAACCTGTAACTTGCCTGAGGCTGCTTCTATCTTCCTTTTAGATTTTCGATGGGACAGATCTTTTCGACTTAACTTTGGTTTTTTGGCAATGGGAACAACTGCAGTCTTTTCCTTCTTCTCAGTTAAAAAGCGTCTGATTTCTTCCTGAATGCTTTGGTCAAAGGAATCATCACTACTTGCACTGGAAGAAGAGGAACACCTTGATCGCTTACTGGCATTCACTTTCACATCCTGTGAATAGTGTAATGACTCCAGTTCTTTTGGTGCTGTGTTAAGAGACTGGAGGGAGCTTTCGTTTTTTTTCAGAGCCTGTTCCAGGGTGACCACATCACCTCTGCTGGGTGTTTTGTGACACTGTTCACTATTATTTGTCAATGATCCTCCATGATCACTTCTCTCTTTTAAATATTCTTGAATGGCTTCCTCTATTCCTCTGTCCACCGAGTCATCGCTGTCTGAGTCCCGAAACAAGGACTCCATTTCAGCAGCATCTGACCTTTCATTCACTGCCTTGGCATCCACCATTGTGATTTTCTGTTTCACCTTGTGAGTTTCATTCTTTGTCTTCCCATCACAACACTTTGTTCTGGCTTGATTCATCTGCATACTGTCCCTGTAGTCATTGTTTGTATCGAGAGAGGACTGGGTGCTTCTCAGGCTTTCTATGATCATCTGGACCTTCTCTGGGATTGGGGTGCCAGTGGAAGATATGTCACTGTCAGAGTCATTAAAGCACACTGGCAGGCTAAAGGTCTGAGCTGACCGATAAGACCTCCATTCTGTATGCAGAGCAATGACAGGTGGGACATTCTTCAGGAACATTCTAGCGGGCTGCGTTGAAGTGCAGACATGTGAATGCTAGGTCCATATACATTCACATTCTAAAAAAAAAGACAATAAAACCTTGTTATTATTATAATTGTAGTTCTTCAGTAATGAGAAATTGTGCATATACTCATTATATTTTTAAAAAAGACTAATCTTCACAGGACAGAAAATATTTTTGGGGAAAACAGGAAAACGAGTAAGATAGACCACATGATCTCCTCTTGTCTGCAACCTTTCTTATGTTCTTAACAAACGAATTATTAGCGCATCTAAATAAAACAAATCACACAAAAGATTACCTATTACATGTGCATTTGCATTTATACACACATGCATACTAAAACATAATATATGAACTTTCACAGTTCGAACATGAGAAAAGCTATAAGCATATGGTGAAGTTACAACCCCATGTGTAGTTTAACATTTCATATTTAAAATGTAAGCCGATACAATAAACATTCAGGTGCGCTCTGTAGCGGTACGAAAAAGTTTCAAACTTCACAGTTTTAATAAGTTACGTTATGCCGATATATACTTCTAATATGGCACAAATTTTACATCATACGATCAAGAATAATTTCCCAATGAACTCATCCAAATTTGCCCCTGTGACAATAATACTTTTATTTTTTCTCTTTTAGAAACAGTTCAACAGTACGAATGATAAACTGTTGCCCAGTCGTGACTGTCTAATATTGTACAGCAGGTGTGGAGAGCTGTCACATGCGGCGCTGTACTAGCAGACGCGTTTTTGTTTATGTTGCCGTGAGATTTTTTCGCTTCAAAACATGCAGCCCAGAATACCGACTCGATGTGGACAGTGCAGATCTACAAACTTATCTCCTTAAGACTCTGCATCGCCAGTCTTCTCTCCTCCTAAACATCAACATCAGCCGGTCTGGAGTCCCCGGTTTTCGTTAACGACAACAATGCAAAACCCCGACACAGAACGCATTTTATTTAATTAGCATAAACATAAAAACACCTGCTTAAAAATAATCTAAAAAGATTTGATAAAGTGGTCGCATGCAATTGAGAAAACAGTTTATTTTATCCTTCTGACTGTTTAGCGAGTCTTTTTGACGTCACCTTCCTACATCCTTTCTTCAGAAAACATTGCCCCCACAGTCGCAACGCCGCACCGGGATGTCCCCGTATCCTTCTAGCGGCTTGGACTGCTCTGATGCCCGGTGAGTATCACTAAGAGACACCGCCGTGAAATCAGCTTCCGTCCTACCCGGCCACTCAGAATTCTGTCACTTCTTTAAAGCCCTAAATCGCTGGACTTCCTGAATTTTAAGTTATACTTAAACATCGTTCTTCAATTTTTGAAAAATATCGCGAAATTAAAACTTCTCTTGCCACCTAAACCCATGTCTAAACACACACTCACGGGCCTCTTCACTACACTCAACACCGGCAAATTTACAGCAATGAAATCGCTGTTTTCACCCCAACAACGACATAGGCTTTAGAGTTTGAGTTTATTTTGCAATATAGCGTAGACCCCTCAAAAATATACCTCGTTTACAGTTCTCTTCGTTCCGTTGTTTCAGCAGTTTTGTGTATTTCCTCCGTTTATTAATTGCTTAGAGACTTCAAGTGTCCACACACCGCTCGGGTACGCGCACTGAGTGCACAGCACCCAACACCCCCAGCCAGCCCACTAACCTTAGGAGGCACAGTTAAAGGCACAGTTTACTCGTATTACTAATATTGCACCAAGTTTCACGGTTTCGAATATGCAACCCCGCAGCATCTTAAATATCGGAGAAAGTGAATATTCAAGTTACAGTTAAACAATTAAGACGTGCATATTTTAATGACTTTTATATAGTCTAGGATTATTGATTTTTGATATTTTAATTTCGATATTATCATTAAAGAATACAAGTAATGAGGTAAAAAAACGTAATTTTTAAAAAGTATTTCACTGTCAGCGAAAAATGTAGGCCTGTAAGCTTGCGGAATGCAGTTATTTTTCCTGTTTTAGTGTTTTCTAAAGTGATACGTGTCACGAAATTGAACTGCATACGTTTATCAAGTTTACATATACTGATTTCTAAGTAGCAACACGATGCTTTGGAGTGCCAAAAACTTTGTAAAGCCCAATAAAAAAGCACAAGTGATATTCTGTTTACTCGATGAAAACGATCCAAAACGTGTATAAAGCTTATATAAATACTTGTTATGTACAGTATAACCAACAAGCATCAGCATTCACAGGCCTCTGTACCTCCCACACATTCACAGAAGGCTTATGGACTGTGCCGTTCAGGAAACAGAAATATTCAAAATATAACCTCATGCTTTATATTGTATTAAACAAAACAATAGAGTATAAACAGTATTAAATAGACTAATTGTATAAAATATCATATACAGAAAATCATATATAATTAAGAGCAAGGAATATGTTTAGATGATTTTCCTTAACTGAATAAAAAGAGAAGATTACTCTAGACATTTGTCCAATAGTTTAATGGGGTTTATAAAATAGTTTTTTTATAGTTAATAAAAATACACTGAGAAATCAAGATTTATTATAATAGCCAATGTTATGTAAAATATAGTTAGAATTATAGAATTATAGAATTATAGAAATTGGTATACCCAGTGAAAGAGTGCAAGTCCCAATAAATTAGTACTGTACAGGGTTACCTTTTATAATAATGACACCTGTCTTTAAAAGTAAAGACGTGAAAAGTGTTTACTGAAAATATGTGAAAAAATAACTAAATCTCAATCACATGAGCAGTTTGAAACCTATATATATATACATTTAAATTTGATTCCTTTAATAATCCTTCTGTTTGTGCTTGATGTACTGTATGAGATGATTCAGAGAAACATTTCTGGAACAATACTTTTTAAACATCTGATATTGATATGTGCATGCTTATCAACCCAGGGCAGATATGTAAAGTCTTGACTAAAGCACACCAACATCTGTGATTCCCCGTGATTCCATCACAGCTTTTTTGGTTGTATAATAAGTTAATTTCTAAAACCTAAGAATAAATGTGAGCCGCAATAATCTTCAGTTTGCAAAGGCATTTTTTAAAGGAGATAGAAACATTAGGAAGTGGAAACATTGTAGCTCAAAGGGAGATTAGAAACCTCCAAGACACTGGATATTCTGTTTTCAAGTACTGACAGGTTTGTTGTTGTTTTTCAGAGCATTTCCATATCTGTCAAAGCCAATAGAACAGGCACTTGGCATAGAGTATCAAGACATTGTAAAGTACTGCCATCTGTGGAGACAAATGTAAAACACATGGGTGGTAGCACTGCTTGGGGTTCATAAAAACATGGATTTTCTTTGGTTAACTCCACTCTATACTGCTATATACTCTATATAGTGAGTGCTCTATATCTTGAGGAGGGTGTAGAAATGTGTATTTTTGTACTTTGGCAGTTCTGTATACAGTATATCTAAAGAAAAAAGCTGCCTATTTATTTAAACTGACATATGTCCACTTGCCCTATGTAATACATTAATTTAATCATCTTCAGTTTAATGAAACAACAGGGCTGGCTCTTTGTGTAAATTATTTAGGATTTTATTACGTAAGGTAGAGTAAAGCATTCCGTGAGGAGTGATGTGGTGTCTCATTCAGAGAAGCTGTGTTTTCACCTGTGCTGAAAATAAAACTTATTGTGATGGCCCTAATCCTCATTATTTCCTTTTCTGAATCCAAGTCGATCATAGAAATTGTTCCATTTGATAGTCCTGTAATATATTTTGGCATGAAGGTCAGTCACTGAGATATGAACAAAGACCAACTAGTTATAGATGCATGCAGAATAACAACTATTAACACATTTCAGCTGTGGTGGAAAATTAAAATGCCATTTGGTATAGAAAATATTGTAATAATAACAACAATAATGATAATGCAAGAACATTTCTAAAACATAGGACAATCTGTAATCTTTTTTATGTGTTGTAACTTTATCCATAAAATTAAATTAATTTAAGTTCTAGCCCATATAAAGATGAATGGTTTAATTTCACTCCCCAATGATCAACGGATGAACAGGTATGGCAATCAAAAAGATGAACAGCTCAAAGCTATTATGTTTAAAAGTCAATGTAGCTAACAGAAGCCTGTTACTTTACTTATTAGAAGTGTTATGTGATAATAGCCTTCAACTGTGAGCAATAATTTTAAGGATATGATCTGACTGGCATTGAAATACATCATTAATAGTTTTTATTCACTTGTTTCAAGTTTTAAATTTCCCAGTTTAAACTTTTAACCCTTTCTGTTTAAAATTGGGTACTTTTGATTTGGTGGAGTTTTGATATTTATTACTATATGATGCCCTAACAAAATAAGAATGGTAGTTTCCATTAGGAGTGACCCATCCTGCCCTAAGTAGTTGGGCTGCTCTAGCACCTAGTATGTTCTGATTTTGTGCCTTTGAGAACACCACAGGTAAGTCCTAATCTTCACAGACAGCTCTGACAATCTAGTGGAAACAATGGGACAACCTGTTGTAGCTGTGATTTGAGGTGGAGTGACTCTCAATTTATTGATAGGATAGTATATATTATTTATTCATTTGTCTGACCGACCGCTTCAGTCAAGTAGATTTACAAGTGTTCCAAATTAAAAAAGAAGCTGTATGTATACGCACACAAAAAGAAAATGCTGTCAGCCTCACAAGTTGCAAAGTATTAAAAGAGGTACAATAGTTGAGGGTAGCCCTGTTTCAGTGTTTTTGATGCAGTTAATGTCTCAGGAAGTGCCTATTTGTTTTAAAAGCTTCATATATTTTAGTGTATATATGCTCAACTGTCCTAGAATGCAGTAAAGAATATGCAGTGTGAGGGTACTGCAAGCAAAACAAATATGCAGTGAAGCTGGAGTGCAGAAATGCAGTCTTTATAGCTTCAGTGGACTGATCATTTTGTGTTTGTTTGGGTTTGTCTTCCTGTGACTTTACAGTTGAAGCTGAAATTAAACACTTAATCACATGCTTTCTAGAAATGCACCAGAAGGCCCTTCTAAGTACACTTACGTCAAGCAGGAATTGAGTAGTTAAATGCCTACAGTATATCTCATGGGGGATCCAGAGATGGGGAATAAATGGGTACTCGTGGCATGTGCTTTGTATAATCTGCTGTGGGTCACTGGACAGTTTACAAGTTTTGTAAATACAGGGAATTACGTTTAGACTTGTAACTTAGCACATTTTTCTTCATTAAGGTTCTTCATTTTTCATGCTAATGAATTGCAAAAAGAACACAATGCCACTAAAGGGTGGATAAACACTGCTTAGTTGTATTGTAGGTCCTCATATAGATTGTATTTTGTTCTGTGCTTTAGACACATAAAGTAACTGTACTAGTACTGGTATTAGCTTTGAGGGAACTATATGTTGGTATTAACCACTAAGCTAATATGACCTTAATGAAACAGTAATACAATTGCCAACTTGCAAACTTCAGCAGTGGAAGCTTGTTCTTGTTCTAGTAGAACTAATAATAGAACTTGGTGTTTTCTTGGTGAACTTCCTTTTCTTTGAAATATTTCAGATACAATTAATTACAATTTGATGGTGATGATATACATGTTTGGTGTAAATTATTTTACATTTATTAATTACATGCATAAAATAAATAACAAAGAACCCTAACACCATTTTACTGATTGTAGAAAATATTGCATGGTAAATCCCTTTAAATGTAAAGTCTCCAATGTGCAAAATAGGAAGGCTAAAACATACAGATGTGTTGTGTTCTTGAACAGAACTCTTGCTGAGCTGCTCAGAAAATGTTATTATTTATAGTCTAGAGCAGTAACCCACACTAAAGTACTGTAGAGCAGACCTCAGAGGCAAAGAGTGTGATCTATCTTCCCCAAAGCACTGGAGCTGACACTGTAGTGACATGCAGCTTTTATTTCTGAAAATTAGAATGACATATTTTTCCATTATTGTTAGACAATTTGAAATGTGTATCTGTTATTTCTACTTGTCTTGTGTTAAAAAATAGAATTGTTTTGTATTAAAGTAGATGTAAGATTAATTTTTTAGATATTATGCATCTTAAAATGCGCATACTGCACGAGATCTGTGTCAATTCAGTAAATTATAAACTTAATTATTTTAGTCACAACATTTATTAGAATTAATCACCTATCAACTATTTTGTCCTCTTTGGTCTTTTGTATGTCCTGCTGTCTGGCTCTATGCCTTATGATACAAATGGCGGATTTGAAAGAACACTCTAAGTTCTCCTTTCCTACCACAAGGTGGTTCTATGTGCACAGCTATATATGTAAGTGGAAGAAAATATGCTTTCCATTGTCTGTTTTTCATGATCCATAAGAACATTTATAAAAGAAAAAACAAAATAAAATTGTATGTCCTTTTAGGTTCTTGTATTTTTCCATAGTAATAATGTATATGACAAATATTTCATGTAGGAATGTACTTATCAACACCATTTGCAGGAGACAACATTCTTTATCTTGCTACTTATGAGAAAGGAAATATTAAGACTAAAGTTATTAAATTCTATAAAATAAGTATTGGGACTGACACAATCAAACATGCCTAGAAATCTACCTTCCAGGTAGTAACAAGATAAATATTACTTTTTGACAGCAGTTGGCTCATAACACCTTTCC